TATATAATAGTCAGAAATCAATATATAATAGTCAGAAATCAATATAGAACAGTCAGAAATCAATATATAATAGTCAGAAATCAATATATAACAGTCAGAAATCAATATATAACTGTCAGAAATCAATATATAATAGTCAGAAATCAATATATAACTGTCAGAAATCAATATATAATAGTCAGAAATCAATAAATAACAGTCAGAAATCAATATGTTACAGTCAGAAATCAATATATAACTGTCAGAAATCAATATAAAACAGTCAGAAATCAATATATAACAGTCAGAAATCAATATATAACAGTCAGAAATCAATATATAACAGCCAGAAATCAATATATAACAGTCAGAAATCAATATATAACTGTCAGAAATCAATATATAACAGACAGAAATCAATATATAATAGTCAGAAATCAATTGATAACAGCCAGAAATCAATATATAACAGTCAGAAATCAACATATAACAGCCAGAAATCAATATATAACAGTCAGAAATCAATATATAACAGTCAGAAATCAATATATAACAGTCAGAAATCAATATATAACAGTCAGAAATCAATTGATAACAGCCACAAATCAATGTATAACAGTCAGAAATCAATATATGACAGCCAGAAATCAATATTTAATAGTCAGAAATCAATATATAACAGTTAGAAATCAATATATGACAGCCAGAAATCAATATAATAGGACTCCTTAATATTGCTGTATCACACAGCTCTTTCGTCCTTCTAGGACTCCTTAATGATGCTGTATCACACAGCTCTTTCGTCCTTCTAGGACTCCTTAGTGGTGCTGTATCACACAGCTGTTTCGTCCTTCTATGTCTATTTAATGATGTTGTATCACACAGTTCTTTCGTCCTTCTGGGACTCCGTAGTGATGCTGTATCACACAGATGTTTCGTCCTTGGTGTATTTTACCTTGTGTCTTAGTAAAAGTGTGGAGAAAGTATGGCAGATTATGAAAATGGTATGGTTGTTAACATATTGAAAGAAATTTCCACAATAAATAATCTTTATTATTTTCAATACCAAATGGTTGGTTTTGCTGAACCGTAACTATAAGTTTGGACAATCACCTACAGATATGCCCACAAAATGAAGTGTCATAATGGTCACACTGAAGCTGTCATTATACACTTACTTTTGATTTGAAACTTACCGTTTGATTTGTACAACGTCACAACCAGCAGATTTAAAGATAGGCAATCATTATTATCCAAAACCCCTTTTGTATTTCATAATTAATCATTATTTACATTCCAATAGGATACGTTATCATAAATGACACGAAAACAATCAACTGATTTTTTATCTGATAGAAACTACAATGCGTGTGGTATCTATAAATAGCAGCCATATTGTTTTGTTTGCAGACTGAGCAGGTAAGATGGGCTCCTGGTGCAATATTTGGTTGTCTGTGTTTGATCGTTACCTTAATCCTTCCTCTGCTTCCGGAGACGAGAGGGCACGAGCTCCCTACCCTAGTGGAGGATTTAGAGGATTGGTATAAAGCCCACACCAGAACCAGATTCAGAAAAAGAAGAAATCGCTAGCAGTGTCAGACATCAACTGCTGTGTTCTATCTATAGCCCACTTTATGGTATAACCAGATCGGATATGTAATAGATCTGTAGGGAAGTCACCCTTCTATAACCACTTCAATAACTGCTGACAACAAACCCTTTATCATTCACACCATAGTCTGAACCACTACAATAACTGCTGACAACAAACCCTTTATCATTCACACCATAGACTGAACCACTACAATAACTGCTGACAACAAACCCTTTATCATTCACACCATAGACAGAACCACTACAATAACTGCCGACAACAAACCCTTTATCATTCACACCATAGTCTGAACCACTACAATAACTGCTGACAACAAACCCTTTATCATTCACACTATAGACTGAACCACTACAATAACTACTGACAACAAACCCTTTATCAATCACACCATAGACTGAACCACTACAATAACTGCCGACAACAAACCCTTTATCATTCACACCATAGACTGAACCACTACAATAACTGCCGACAGCAAACCCTTTATCATTCACACCATAGACTGAACCACTACAATTACTACCGACAACAAACCCTTTATCATTCACACCATAGACTGAACCAGTACAATAACTGATGAAAACAAACCCTTTATCATTCACACTATAGACTGAACCACTACAATAACTACTGACAGCAAACCCTTTATCATTCACACCATAGACTGAACCACTACAATTACTGCCGACAACAAACCCTTTATCTTTCACACCATAGACTGAACCAGTACAATAACTGATGAAAACAAACCCTTTATCATTCACACTATAGACTGAACCACTACAATAACTACTGACAACAAACCCTTTATCAATCACACCATAGACTGAACCACTACAATAACTACCGACAACAAACCCTTTATCATTCACTCCATCGACTGAACCACTACAATAAATGCTGACAACAAACCCTTTATCAATCACACCATAGACTGAACCACTACAATAAATGCTGACAACAAACCCTTTATCATTCACACCATAGACTGAACCACTACAATAAATGCTGACAACAAACCCTTTATCATTCACACCATAGACTGAACCACTACAATAACTGCTGACAACAAACCCTTTATCATTCACACCATAGTCTGAACCACTACAATAACTGCTGACAACAAACCCTTTATCATTCACACCATAGACTGAACCACTACAATAACTGCTGACAACAAACCCTTTATCATTCACACCATAGACAGAACCACTACAATAACTGCCGACATCAAACCCTTTATCATTCACACCATAGACTGAACCACTACAATAACTGCTGACAACAAACCCTTTATCATTCACACCATAGACTGAACCACTACAATAACTGCTTGTAAATCATAGTCAGGTTTACCAAAGGTTAGTCCAATAAATTAAACACAACCATAATCCCAAACTCCATGTGTCAGACGTAAGTTTGAAAATGTGCGCGCGATTAAGGTCAGTTTTTGGTGGATAAATCGAAGGTATTCAAAACGTGTCCAGACAGCATTCAGTTGGTCAAAAATGTTTGTGATGAGGAAGAGCTTCAAAGTCCTGCGTTTTGTAACACAAGTAATGTTCTGCCGTTATTTCATTTCCTACATTGTTCTGACAAAAATGTTTATGAATAAAGCTATCAGATATTCATGTATTTGTTGGTTTATGTGTAATAACCAGAAGTGCAATCAACCTCGATTTTAAACAAAACTATTGGCATCCTCGATACTCCAGGGTTTACCATCACTTTTGCTCTCTGCACCCCTGGATCATGTTATGACCAAATTGAAGGCTCCGTGTGTGACACCTTGTGGACAAGACGAAAATACTCATTTGATCCTTTGATGTACGCATAATGGTATATTGTACCGACTTTGAAGTTTGTGTCGCTTCTTTGTAATCTTCAAAGAAGCATATCATCTTGTGATTGGTTAGCTGTTTTCTTTTCTCCGGGAACCAATCAAATTACTTGTACCTTCAATTTTGCCAAGAGGATGAGATATTGGAAGCCAACACTCTATATAATGTTGTACAATCTTTGTCATGTTTTAGGAATGTTATACCAACCTTTAATGCTTGGAAAAACCTGGTGTAGGATCAAATTTCAAGTATAACACCGGTTAGCAACAAAATTCTGAAGTGGTACATTAAAACTCTACCGTGTATAGCATGTGCCTATTGTATGCACACTTCATTGGGGTAATTATTTTTTTAACATTCAAATGTAGGTTTAAGGTCACGGTCAAGGTCACATGGTCAAAAATACCACCAGAAATGTCTTGTCACAATTGTCACGTTGCAATAGTTATGGTTAAAGTTGAACAGCACAACAGCAATATGCCCCCGATCTTTCGATCCCGTGGCATAAAAATCTAGCAGGAGTGAAATCTGTGTAATAGACAGAAACCAGATTATGTTGTAGTCTCTGATAATGAAAGGAAAATGTGGTATTCTGTAGTAAAGAGGGGACAAATAAAGATGACCACGTCCCTATTTACATCGGTCGGGAAACTCGGAAACAGATTTGTTTTTCTTATCAAAAAACCTTGTAAATAAATAACCATGTATAAAGCTTCATCAGATAATAAGATATACACCACGATGAAAATAATATCGGAAATGTCTTTCTCTGTGTTCCTCACTACACTACACACAAGCTCTACTGCTCTCCAGTATGTTACTCTAGACACAGGATTGGTTACGTTGAAACCGTCTCCACCTTAATTCTGTCATAGTTCGAGTTTGTCGGGTTTGTTCTGGTTGGAGTTTGCTGGGTTCTGTCGTGGTTGGAGTTTGTCGTGGTTGGAGTTTGTCGTGGTTGGAGTTTGTCGGGTTTGTCGTGGTTGGAGTTTGTCATAGTTGGAGTTTGTCGGGTTTGTCGTGGTTGGAGTTTGTTGTGTTCTGTTGTTGTTGGAGTTTGTTGGGTTCTGTCGGGTTTGTCGTGATTGGGGTTTATCGGGTTCTGTTGTTGTTGGAGTTTGTTGGGTTCTGTCGTGGTTGGAGTTTGTCGGGTTTGTCGTGGTTGGAGTTTGCTGGGTTCTGTCGTGGTTGGAGTTTGTCATAGTTGGAGTTTGTCGTGGTTGGAGTTTGTTGGGTTCTGTCGTGGTTGGAGTTTGTCGAGTTTGTCGTGGTTGGAGTTTGTCGTGTTCTGTCGTGGTTGGAGTTTGTCAGGGTCTGTGATGGTTGGGGTTTGTCGGGTTCTGTCGTGGTTGGGGTTTGTTGGGTTCTGTCGTGGTAGGGGTGTGTCGGGTTCTGTCGTGGTTGGGGTTTGTCGGGTTTGTCGTGGTTGGAGTTTGTTGGGTTCTGTTGTGGTTGAAGTTTGTTGAGTTCTGTTGTGGTTGGAGTTTGTTGGGTTCTGTCGTGGTTGGAGTTTGTCGGGTTTGTCGTGGTTGGAGTTTGCTGGGTTCTGTCGTGGTTGGAGTTTGTCATAGTTGGAGTTTGTCGTGGTTGGAGTTTGTTGGGTTCTGTCTTGGTTGGAGTTTGTCGAGTTTGTCGTGGTTGGAATTTGTTGGGTTCTGTCGTGGTTGGAGTTTGTCGAGTTTGTCGTGGTTGGAGTTTGTTGGGTTCTGTCGGGTTTGTCGTGATTGGGGTTTATCGGGTTCTGTTGTTGTTGGAGTTTGTTGGGTTCTGTCGTGGTTGGAGTTTGTCGAGTTTGTCGTGGTTGGAGTTTGTCGTGTTCTGTCGTGGTTGGAGTTTGTCAGGGTCTGTGATGGTTGGGGTTTGTCGGGTTCTGTCGTGGTTGGGGTTTGTTGGGTTCTGTCGTGGTTGGAGTTTGTCAAGTTTGTCGTGGTTGGAGTTTGTTGGGTTCTGTCGGGTTTGTCGTGATTGGGGTTTATCGGGTTCTGTTGTTGTTGGAGTTTGTCGAGTTTGTCGTGGTTGGAGTTTGTCGTGTTCTGTCGTGGTTGGAGTTTGTCAGGGTCTGTGATGGTTGGGGTTTGTCGGGTCCTGTCGTGGTTGGGGTTTGTCGGGTTCTGTCGTGGTTGGAGTTTGTCATAGTTGGAGTTTGTCGTGGTTGGAGTTTGTTGGGTTCTGTTGTTGTTGGAGTTTGTTGGGTTCTGTCGTGGTTGGAGTTTGTCGAGTTTGTCGTGGTTGGAGTTTGTCGTGTTCTGTCGTGGTTGGAGTTTGTCAGGGTCTGTGATGGTTGGGGTTTGTCGGGTTCTGTCGTGGTTGGAGTTTGTCGGGTTTGTCGTGGTTGGAGTTTGTCATAGTTGGAGTTTGTCGTGGTTGGAGTTTGTTGGGTTCTGTCATGGTTGGAGTTTGTCGAGTTTGTCGTGGTTGGAGTTTGTCGTGTTCTGTCGTGCTTGGAGTTTGTCAGGGTCTGTGATGGTTGGGGTTTGTCGGGTCCTGTCGTGGTTGGGGTTTGTCGGGTTCTGTCGTGGTTGGAGTTTGTCATAGTTGGAGTTTGTCGGGTTTGTCGTGGTTGGAGTTTGTTGGGTTCTGTTGTTGTTGGAGTTTGTTGGGTTCTGTCGTGGTTGGAGTTTGTCGAGTTTGTCGTGGTTGGAGTTTGTCGTGTTCTGTCGTGGTTGGAGTTTGTCAGGGTCTGTGATGGTTGGGGTTTGTCGGGTTCTGTCGTTGTTGGGGTTTGTCGGGTTCTGTCGTTGTTGGGGTTTGTCGGGTTCTGTCGTGGTTGGGGTTTGTTGGGTTCTGTTGTGGTTGGAGTTTGTCGTGTTCTGTCGTGGTTGGAGTTTGTCAGGGTCTGTGATGGTTGGGGTTTGTCGGGTTCTGTCGTGGTTGGGGTTTGTTGGATTCTGTCGTGGTTGGGGTTTGTCGGGTTTGTCGGGGTTGGAGTTTGTTGGGTTCTGTTGTGGTTGAAGTTTGTTGGGTTCTGTTGTGGTTGGAGTTTGTTGGGTTCTGTCGTGGTTGGAGTTTGTCGGGTTTGTCGTGGTTGGAGTTTGCTGGGTTCTGTCGTGGTTGGAGTTTGTCATAGTTGGAGTTTGTCGTGGTTGGAGTTTGTTGGGTTTTGTCTTGGTTGGAGTTTGTCGAGTTTGTCGTGGTTGGAGTTTGTTGGGTTCTGTCGTGGTTGGAGTTTGTCGAGTTTGTCGTGGTTGGAATTTGTTGGGTTCTGTCGTGGTTGGAGTTTGTCGAGTTTGTCGTGGTTGGAGTTTGTTGGGTTCTGTCGGGTTTGTCGTGATTGGGGTTTATCGGGTTCTGTTGTTGTTGGAGTTTGTTGGGTTCTGTCGTGGTTGGAGTTTATCGTGGTTGGGGTTTGTTGGGTTCTGTCGTGGTTGGGGTTTGTTGGGTTTGTCGTGATTGGGGCTTATTGGGTTCTGTTGTGGTTGGGGTGTGTTGGGTTCTGTCGTGGTTGAAGTTTGTTGGGTTCTGTCATGATTGGGGTTTAGTGGGTTCTGTTGTGGTTGGAGTTTGTCAGGCTCTGTTGTCCAACCACGACAGAGGCTGGGGTATATCGTTGTGATTTTGTCTGTATGTGCTAAATGATTTTATACTTGAGAATGACGCTAGTGTTTACATTGTGTGTTATCCTGGTATGTTGACACTTCTGTAAAAGTCTGTGATAAAGATGTTTACCACTATACTTTATTCCTGATTAATCTGATTGAGAGAATTGCTTACAAGGGATTTCTCTGCTGCCATTGACTGAGAGCTAAATATGGATTATGTATCAATATCAAACAACATCATCCCGATCAAAAACTGTCACATTTTCGTCTTCGTCAGAAACTTCAGGGCTGTCTCTTATTATCTCCTCCATTTGTAGTCGGTCATACCTGAAATAGAAAGAAAATACCATAAATGTATTACAGTAGAGAGTAGATATATTACATTGTCATATGATGTTTGGCTACAGAAACACTAGATAGGTTTCACAGTAGAGAGTAGATATATTACATTGTCATATGATGTTTTGCTACAGAAACACTAGATAGGTTTCACAGTAGAGAGTAGATATATTACATTGTCATATGATGTTTTGCTACAGAAACACTAGATAGGTTTCACAGTAGAGAGCAGATATATTACATTGTCATATGATAATTTGCTACAGAAACACTAGATAGGTTTCACAGTAGAGAGTAGATATATTACATTGTCATATGATATTTTGCTACAGAAACACTAGATAGGTTTCACAGTAGAGAGCAGATATATTACATTGTCATATGATGTTTTGCTACAGAAACACTAGATAGGTTTCACAGTAGAGAGCAGATATATTACATTGTCATATGATGTTTTGCTACAGAAACACTAGATAGGTTTCACAGTAGAGAGCAGATATATTACATTGTCATATGATGTTTGGCTACAGAAACACTAGATAGGTTTCACAGTAGAGAGTAGATATATTACATTGTCATATGATATTTTGCTACAGAAACACTAGATAGGTTTCACAGTAGAGAGTAGATATATTACATTGTCATATGATGTTTTGCTACAGAAACACTAGATAGGTTTCACAGTAGAGAGTAGATATATTACATTGTCATATGATATTTTGCTACAGAAACACTAGATAGGTTTCACAGTAGAGAGCAGATATATTACATTGTCATATGATGTTTGGCTACAGAAACACTAGATAGGTTTCACAGTAGAGAGCAGATATATTACATTGTCATATGATAATTTGGCTACAGAAACACTAGATAGGTTTCACAGTAGAGAGCAGATATATTACATTGTCATATGATATTTTGCTACAGAAACACTAGATAGGTTTCACAGTAGAGAGTAGATATATTACATTGTCATATGATATTTTGCTACAGAAACACTAGATAGGTTTCACAGTAGAGAGTAGATATATAAAATAGTGATATCTTAATTTGCTGTAGATTTCTTACTTTTATGTACATAATTACTTTTCTTGAACGATCAAATGAAACCCCATGTCGATACTAAGTAGTTTATTACATGGACTTGTTCAAGTTTATATTTATTCATTTCGACACATTATCTATCATGTGAAATTGATATTTTAGTCACACATGCTTCACAAAATGCCATTTATTTTGGCTTTCTAATTAGCCAGAAGAATGACCTTTTTAGTCAGATATTAGCACACATGCAGTTGTCAATCAAGATGCCCATTTATGAGGGACGTAGACATCAAAATACACATCAGTTTTGTCTATATATCTACAAATATATCTTACCTAACTCTGTATTAGACATCATGCAGTTAATTCTTCAGGTCAATTTCACACATTCCGTGCAATGCGTTGGTATTTCAACAAATAAAATGAAATTCACTTTACACAAGTCTATAAATAGTTAGGGAAGTTATCTATTGATAGTATTAAAATTGGATAGGTGTTTTGTGTGCAGAATGTAAAAACAGTTACTACACTTAGTCTAGATGTGGTGGTATACTTTGTATCTAGTGACTCCTAAAATAACCTTAAATCTGATACTACAGCTTTCAAAGACAATGAAAATTTGGAGAAAACTTCAAACACAATAAAAATTAAGAGAAAACTGATAATTTATTTGCAGGACTGGTCCAGTACACTTATATTACTTTTTCCAATTGTACAAAGGCAACACAAATGTTTACTTCCTTTCAGTAAAAAAACATAATTGTAGTTTTAGCCAAAGAACGACCAAAATCAGACGTCAGTGACGCCAATGTCCTAGATGATTGAAACCTAGGAAGCAACACTGGGGTTTCCAAAGTGGTTGAAATAATGTCAACAAGAGACAACATGTGTGTAAATTATCTCACCTGCTTCACAGCTCAACTTCTGCACAATGGAAAGTTTTTTGTCCAGGAAGGCCACATAGATACAACATGATAGGTGATTACTGAAGTTGGAAAATTCCTTCAATATTTGTTTGCTGTCCCCTTGAAAGTAGATCAATTAGGTCACTAATGTGTACATTAATGGTACCACTTCATCCCAGCTTGCTACAGACCCAGTATTAGTCATGTGGGAATGTTGGTCATTAAGAGGCCAATTAAACACATTTGACCTATTATTTTGAAAGTGGGTCAAAGTCATTCATTGGATCAAAGTTGGTAGCCCTTCATCCAAGCACAATACTGGCCTGGAATTAGTTGATAAATCTTTTAAATATTTTGGCACAAATTTCACTTGTATTAATTAAACAAATTTGATAATCATTCATCACAGCATGCTACAAGTCCTGTGCCTGTAATTTTAAAACTTCAATACATATGACCATGGTGACCCTGAAAGTATCAGCTAAAAGCCCCATAATATAGCTCTGAATCTTGTAGTTACTGTAAAGTAATATAAAGATTTTGACATATCAGCCTTCTGCCACCTTGAATATTGGTCAAGGTCATTCATTTGAACAAACGTGACAGCCCTTCATCCCATATCATGATTGTGGTCTTCTGGGTTATAGAGAAGAAACTGCTTAAAGTAAAAAGTTGCCGCCCTCTGATAAACGCCGCACCACACCATTATATATCAAGCTCACTAGCACGGTGAGCAGGGGAGCTAAAACATGGTACCCAAAAATTCAATATCATTCATAATTTTCAATACTTACGTATTTATTCTGAACCGCACCACTATTCAAATGAATTAGTTTGTGACATGCAGATTATGACAAGCTACAGACACTTGTATCCCCCAGCAATTTCTACTAACTGCATTCTCTCAGAACTCTACAAAAGACCTACCAATGATGGTTGTAGCACCTTCCAGTACAAAGTCAATTTTTTTTTCCAAGTATGTTAAAACAAAACCAGGTTTTCAAAAATGAGTCCATTGTTGACATGAAAAAAACAAATGAGCTTAACAAAATGTTTATTTAAATCAGCAATATAGATATAAGATATATCACATGTGCTTTGACTCCTGAGTAATATATCATCTACCGATCTCATTCACTTAATTTTTACAAAATTTATTGATGCACCTAATCAACTGTAGAAATAATCAGATGATACGAATTACCATGTTTTCCACACTTACCTAGAAAAAAAGGCTCCATGACCCTGTCTTGCTTACCACTGAGCTCCAGTTCAAAAAAGAAAACTTTAAAAAAATAAGTTCATTTCTGTATAATTCCCTCTCCTAAACAAGCTACGGAAATAACGACAGTGTTTCCTGGTTATTGAAAAAAGTTATTCAAAGATTTTCAATGCACTTGAGCTATGACATTGAAACTGTATATGAGAGGACTGTAACAAAAACAGATTGTAAATTTGTCCAGATTCTCAATAATTGTTAAACAATAAGACAAATAGGTATTATCTATCTGAGGGATCAATATTCTCTTATACGTTCATTATGTATTAAATGTTGAATAAATTCTAAAGATCTAGGTGTGCTGACAATATTCCTAAAATTCTTTAGAATGATTGTCCTCTTTATAAACATAAAGCAGTACAACCAAAATATCGGTCATTTCTCAAGGACTGACGCCATTTTTTTATCATTTGTTTTTAGTTTTTACATCAGCAATTCATTCACACACAAAAAAATGCTCTGGTTAAATGGAGGGTATAAATACACAATAGAAAACATTAAAAACAAAAGTATGAAGGAAATCTATATTAGTGAATCATAATTACAAAAATTCAATTTTAGGTAAATCCAGTATTTAATATCAGGTAGCTGGAGTAATGACTAACAAACTGCTAGGTCAGGTACACTGAACAAGGAATAAATCTGGATACTGAAGCACGATAAAACTTGTACAACATACAAATAATATAAAAAAGCGAAAAAATAAGTAAAATTTTGTCCTGTATAAAATGTCAAAAACTGGTTCTCATCTTCTACAAGGCTTAAAGATATGACAAAAACAAAAAACTTACCCAGTATAACAACAAATCACTGGCAGTTAAAATCCCTTATAATGCCTTTTGTTGACATGGTAACGAGGGTCTGGTGGGATAAAGTTTGGTAACTTTAATATCAAAACAACAAGCTGTTAACACTAAAATGCCATCTATAATTAGAGCTAGGAGGTATCATATATCTACCTTCATACATGCCTAGTATAACAAGCATCTTACATAACATTCATATGGGATTGAGAAAACTTGCAACAGATGATACTACAATAAAGTGTTCCTCCTCAAACTGGTAGCAATCCCATCCCTGGTAACAACCCCTGGTAACAAGCCCATCCCTGGTAATCAGCCGGTTCCTGGTAACAAGCCCATCCCTGGTAACAAGCTGATTCCTGGTTACAAGCACATCCCTGGTAATCAGCCGATTCCTGGTAACAAGCACATCCCTGGTAACAAGCCCATCCCTGGTAATCAGCTGATTCCTGGTAACAAGCCCATCCCTGGTAATCAGCTGATTCCTGGTAACAAGCACATCCCTGGTAATCAGCTGATTCCTGGTAACAAGCCCATCCCTGGTAATCAGCTGATTCCTGGTTACAAGCACATCCCTGGTAATCAGCTGATTCCTGGTAACAAGCCAATCCCTGGTAACAAACCCATCCCTGGTAATCAGCTGATTCCTGGTAACAAGCCCATCCCTGGTAACAAGCCCATCCCTGGTAATCAGCTGATTCCTGGTAACAAGCCCATCCCTGGTAATCAGCTGATTCCTGGTTACAAGCACATCCCTGGTAATCAGCTGATTCCTGGTTACAAGCACATCCTTGGTAATCAGCTGATTCCTGGTTACAAGCACATCCCTGGTAATCAGCTGATTCCTGGTTACAAGCCCATCCCTGGTAACAAGCCCATCCCTGGTAATCAGCTGATTCCTGGTTACAAGCACATCCCTGGTAATCAGCTGATTCCTGGTTACAAGCCAATCCCTGGTAACAAGCCCATCCCTGGTAATCAGCTGATTCCTGGTAACAAGCAATCCCTGGTAACAACCCCCTGGTAACAAGTCCATCCCTGGTTACAAGCCCATCCCTGGTAATCAGCTGATCCCTGGTAACAACCCCTGGTAACAAGTCCATCCCTGGTAACAACCCCTGGTAACAAGCCCGTCCCTGGTAACAAGTACATCCCTGTTAACTAGTCCCTCCCTTGTAATAAGCCCATTCCTGATAATAAGCCCATCCCTTGTAATAAGACCATCCCTGGTAAAAAGCCCATCCCTGGTAATAAGCCCATCCCTTGTAATAAGTCCATCCCTGGTAACAACCCCTGGTAACAAGCCCATCCCTGGTAACAAGCCCATCCCTGGTAATCAGCTGATTCCTGGTAACAAGCCCATCCCTGGTAATCAGCTGATTCCTGGTTACAAGCACATCCCTGGTAATCAGCTGATTCCTGGTTACAAGCCAATCCCTGGTAACAAGCCCATCCCTGGTAATCAGCTGATTCCTGGTAACAAGCAATCCCTGGTAACAACCCCCTGGTAACAAGTCCATCCCTGGTTACAAGCCCATCCCTGGTAATCAGCTGATCCCTGGTAACAACCCCTGGTAACAAGTCCATCCCTGGTAACAACCCCTGGTAACAAGCCCGTCCCTGGTAACAAGTACATCCCTGTTAACTAGTCCCTCCCTTGTAATAAGCCCATTCCTGATAATAAGCCCATCCCTTGTAATAAGCCCATCCCTGGTAATAAGCCCATCCCTTGTAATAAGTCCATCCCTGGTAACAACCCCTGGTAACAAGCCCATCCCTGGTAACAAGCCCATCCCTGGTAATCAGCTGATTCCTGGTAACAAGCCCATCCCTGGTAATCAGCTGATTCCTGGTTACAAGCACATCCCTGGTAATCAGCTGATTCCTGGTTACAAGCCAATCCCTGGTAACAAGCCCATCCCTGGTAATCAGCTGATTCCTGGTAACAAGCAATCCCTGGTAACAACCCCCTGGTAACAAGTCCATCCCTGGTTACAAGCCCATCCCTGGTAATCAGCTGATCCCTGGTAACAACCCCTGGTAACAAGTCCATCCCTGGTAACAACCCCTGGTAACAAGCCCGTCCCTGGTAACAAGTACATCCCTGTTAACTAGTCCCTCCCTTGTAATAAGCCCATTCCTGATAATAAGCCCATCCCTTGTAATAAGCCCATCCCTGGTAATAAGCCCATCCCTTGTAATAAGTCCATCCCTGGTAACAACCCCTGGTAACAAGCCCATCCCTGGTAACAAGTACATCCCTGTTAACTAGTCCCTCCCTGGTAATAAGCCCATTCCTGATAATAAGCCCATCCCTTGTAATAAGTCCATCCCTGGTAATAAGCCCATCCCTGGTAATAAGTGAATTCCTGGTAATAAGCCCATCCCTTTTAATAAGCCCATCACTTGTAATAAGCCCATCCCTGATAATAAGCCCATCCCTTGTAATAAGCCCATCCCTGGTAATAAGCCCATCCCTGGTAATAAGCCCTGGTAACAAATCCATCCCTGGTAACAAGCCCGGGTAACAAGTCCATAACAGTATCCCTGACATTGATACAAAATGTTGGCTGCCTGTGTTTACTGTATAAAAATTTCCCGTACAAAAGTCCCTTGAATTGTGAAGCCCTACCTGGTAAAGGTTAGATAAAAAAATCTCCAATAAAGTAAGTAGTATACACTGGAATTTGTCAAATATCAGGGCTTGTCAAATGCTGTTAAATAACCAAACCAACACAGGAGAGCATCCAGACATTCTAGAACATTATCTCTGTGTAAAATGTGTTCACAACCAACAGAAACAAGTGACCATTCGTGTCTACTGTCCACACAACAGAAACAAGTGACCATTCGTGTCTATTGTCAGTACCTCTACTGGATAAATGAAGACATGATAGATAAAGCAACTATTTAGAACATTTCCATGAATGTACGACTCCTTCAGTCATCTCTGATTCAGCTGCGACCCAATCAATGTATTAAGAATATTTCCTTGATTTGTAGCAACCCAATTAAATTTAAATGAAGTTTGGTTAAAATCAATCTATTGGCTTCACTTGAAATAGCAAAGATATGCTAACACACAGAATTTTGCATAAATATCTGTAAATCAATTTTGTATCACAAAATAGATTGGAAATGTTAATCATAGCAAATTAAATTTGTCTTTACATGTATATGTTATTAATTATGCGGAATGTTTTCAGGAAATATAAACCAAGCCCTATAAGAAAACAGTATCTTATACATAAACATAATGAAGTAAACAAACAGGACATAAAAACAACATGCTCAAATGCTGGCTTTTTTCAATACAAATCTATTCTAAAAAACATCTCATGGTGCAGGATTTCATCAACCATAGGGAAGAGGCAGGAGGTAATTTTTTTTTACTGAATTCCATATATTTTAGAAGACATCAGTACATTTTATCCAGATGAGAAGAGCTGATAACATCCCAGATATATAAATCTTATCACATCAAACTTTATCTTTTGACAAAACAGCAAATGTTGGAAGCGTGTTAACATATGTTCATTGTTACTGGTTATTTTACACACTATGTACCCAGCGTATAGCTACGTCAATGTGTTCCAATGTTTACCTTAGTGTAATCAGAAGTTAAGGTATAGGCAAAAACATCCAATATTTGATCTTTGATTTCAACAGAATTGGAAATCCAATGACATAAGATAAAGTTAGGTGTTCAACAAAGAAAAATTTATGGATGTTGATCATGCACAAAAGACAGACATGTCGAGTCTTAAATACACCATTACAACAAGACACACAGATATTAACGTTGAACATGCCTACGTCAGACACATAAAGGCTTGAACAGACGAATAAGACAAACACAGAGTGTGTTGAACCTGCTAGACTATCAGAGAGACACACACAGACAATACAGATGCCCAGAGGGCAATTTTTACACATACAATACAGATGCCCAGAGGGCAATTTCTAAACATACAGTAATAGATGCCCAAAGGGCAATTTATGAACAGACAAGATAGATGCCCAGAGGGCAATTTCTAAACATACAATAACAGATGCCCAGAGGGCAATTTCAAACACACAAAATAGATGCTCAAAGGGCAATTTATACACATACAATACAGATGCCCAGAGGGCAATTCATGAACATACAATACAGTTGCCCAGAGGGCAATTCATGAACATACAATACAGATGCCCAGAGGGCAATTCATAAACATACAATACAGATGCCCAAAGGGCAATTTATGAACAGACAAGATAGATGCCCAGAGGGCAATTTCTAAACATACAATAACAGATGCCCAGAGGGCAATTTCAAACACACAAAATAGATGCTCAAAGGGCAATTTATACACATACAATACAGATGCCCAGAGGGCAATTCATGAACATACAATACAGATGCCCAGAGGGCAATTCATAAACATACAATACAGATGCCCAGAGGGCAATTTCTAAACATACAATACAGATTCCCAGAGGGCAATTTCTAAACATACAATATAGACACAAATAGTGTTGAACACTCAGAATTTCCATAAACTTCAGCATGGATAGTGGAAAGTCCTTAAAACTGCCTCGTTCCCCTTCCACATGCCTTTTGGACGAATTTGACGAATAACATGACTAAACCTGTAGTAGGGTTAGTAGTCTCATACATTGTTAGTCATTAATCTAGTGTGTTCATTCACATCCTCCTCATACCCGTTCTTTGTTGTGGCTGCAGGTACAGGAGGTATACAGTCAGAGAATTTCTCCACAATACAATATATCACCATCGCACTTCCCTGTGCAAAATAAAATAAAAATTCAAAATAAAAAGTGAGAGGGAAGTTCTAGTATATAATCTATTCAGTTTGAATAATTTTCTGTTATAAATTTCATGTGACTTAAACCCAAAACAGGAGTTACAATTTCCTCAAAATTCAAGCTAAAGAAATATATAACATTCACAATATTTATAAAGCTTCATTGTTTTTTTTTTTTGTTGATTACATGTAGATTGACAAACTTAAAATTGTGAAAGTTATATGCTTGATTTTAAGGATGCCGAAATTTCCATCCTCATACTTACAGCTATAAAGAATAATCCACAACAGATAGTGACGGCCCACGGGAAGTGGATATGGTCCACAGATAATCCACCTCCAGTCGGTCCAAGGAAAGCTCTGGAAAAGATCAATTTTGTCATAAAAAGGTCAAAAATTTTGTCGGTCAACTTTAAAACTATTAAAACTTGCTGAGCATATCAACAGCAAACAGCCAGAGCAATTTTGAGGAGTAATGTAGAAACAGAGGACAGTAGTACAATCACCAAGACAGACCACAAGGTGAAACTTCCTATTACAATCACCAAGACAGACCACATGGACAAACTACCTAATACAATCACAAAGACAGACCACAAGGACAAACTACCTAGTACAACCACCAAGACAGTCCACAAGGACAAACTTCCTAGTACAACCACCAAGACAGACCAGAAAGAAAAACTTCCTAGTACAATCACCAAGACAGACCACAAGGACAAACTACCTAGTACAACCACCAAGACAGACCACAAGGACAAACTACCTAGTACAACCACCAAGACAGACCACAAGGACAAACTACCTAGTACAACCACCAAGACAGACCACAAGAACAAACTACCTAGTACAACCACCAAGACAGTCCACAAGGACAAACTACCTAGTACAACCACCAAGACAGTCCACAAGGACAAACTACCAAGTACAACCACCAAGACAGACCAGAAAGACAAACTTCCTAGTACAATCACCAAGACAGACCACAAGGTCAACTACCTAGTACAACCACCAAGACAGACCAGAAGGACAAACTTCTCAGTACATCCACCAAGACAGACCACAAGGACAAACTACCTAGTACAACCACCAAGACAGACTACAAGGACAAACTACCAAGTACAATCACCAAAACAGACCACAAGGACAAACTACCTAGAACAACCACCAAGACAGACCACAAGGACAAACTAGCTAGTACAACCACCAGGACAGTCCAGAAGGACAAAGGCCTTGTACAACCACCAAGACAGTCCACAAGTACAAATTACCTGGGACAACCACCAAGACAGTCCACAAGGACAAACTACCTAGTACAACCACCAAGACAGACCACAAGGACAAACTACCTAGTACATCCACCAAGACAGTCCACAAGGACAAATGACCTGGGACAACCACCAAGACAGTCCACAAGGACAAATGACCTGGGACAACCACCAAGACAGTCCACAAGGACAAACTACCTAGTACATCCACCAAGACAGTCCACTAGGACAAATGACCTGGGACAAGCACCAAGACAGTCCACAAGGACAAATGACCTGGGACAAGCACCAAGACAGTCCACAAGGACAAATGACATGAGACAACCACCAAGACAGTCCACAAGGACAAATGACATGAGACAACCACCAAGACAGTCCACAAGGACAAACAAACTAATTTCCCTAAAACATCTAACCCATGACTGTATATTCCACAACTAAGAACATTCAGTTTGGAACTTACCCTAATGAAAAACAGGAGTTGAACAGCCCAGACACCATCCCAAAGGTAACAAAGTTGTCTTCAAAGCCTATTTGACTGAAAGAAAACATAGTTAAATTTTATTCAGCACTTTGATAATCTGTATATTAACCAAATATCAAATATTTGTGAAAAAAAAGTACTACATGTTTTGGAATAGACTTTCTGAATAGACATTCTATTCAGTACAGTTTTTCAGGTTGGAAAACAGCAGAATTCAACAGATGTTTGTTTTTCCTTTAATTTCTAGTCATCATGGTAACTATGGTATATACCTAGCATGTTTCTGACCCTTATTCTATAAAAACAAGATCCTATCTCAGTTACAGCCATTCATCATGTATGAAGCTGATTCTACTATTTAGAGGGTTCCTTAATGTTAAACTCTCTAAAGAAGGTGTATGCACTTAAATGGTGAGGGGTAGCATACATCCTTAACATCTAAATATAATATAATCAGTGTAGCCTCATTATGTTCCACTACTTTTTGTCATTACAAGTAGATCACAACAATAATTCAAATGAAATGCAGAATAGTGTACAACACCGTCACATTTATCTCCTCTTTTGATATAAACCTAATTAAAGCCAAGGCTGGAGCTAAAATACAGTATACAATGTAACGCTGAGCTGAATTTCTTCAGTTCAATATTCACCCTGCAACCTTGTGCCAAAAATAGCTAAAAAAAGCACAGAATATATAATAATAATAAACTTTATTTATTTTACAACAACTGCGAAGTACGTTTTTCCAATTTATATAAATCACTCTTGTACACTGGGAAAACCCACATGGTCAAGCAGTGACCCTTGACCTTTTCACATCCATTCCGGAAATTGAACCTCGGACAGCTAGGTGAAACAGAATATATACATCAGTGTTACAGGTTTTATATCCTACACATATTCAAGAAATACTTACAGTGCACCATCCAGTAAGGTCCTGAAGGTCGGTATCAAAGCACATCCCAGGAATATTCCCAAAGAAATACTTACAATGCACCATCCAGTAAGGTCCTGAAGGTCGGTATCAAAGCACATCCCAGGAATATTCCCCAAGAAATACTTACAATGCACCATCCAGTAAGGTCCTGAAGATCGGTATCAAAGCACATCCCAGGAATATTCCCCAAGAAATACTTACAATGCACCATCCAGTAAGGTCCTGAAGATCGGTATCAAAGCACATCCCAGGAATATTCCCCAAGAAATACTTACAGTGCACCATCCAGTAAGGTCCTGAAGATCGGTATCAAACCACATCCCAGGAATATTCCCAAAGAAATACTTACAGTGCACCATCCAGTAAGGTCCTGAAGGTCGGTATCAAACCACATCCCAGGAATATTCCCAAACATACACAACCAAGAATCTGGGTCCATAACGCACTGTAATGTTAAAGATTTTTAAAATTCAATTTGTTGATGTTATTTTCACAATGATCTTTTTTTGCTAGATTTTCAGATCAAGCCCCAAGTCTGACGCTCAACCGATCAAGCTAAAGAGATGTTCTCTCTAGCTGAGCAGTATATTGTGGCTAGTATTTTATCAGGGTTACACATTTTCAAAAATTCCAATACTAAAACATATAATTTTTCCAACATGTAGTTTTATGAAAATGTATCAAATTTTAACATTTTACAGTCAATTATGGATTATAAACAAGACAAACCACTGTTAAAGGTTATTACGAATTCCACTCAAATTTGTTGCTTTTTCATATAAAAGGTATAAACTTTGTTAATGCTAATGTTACCGTTGATGTATTTATTGCAAAATCAAATACTGAACAGACTTTGAGTACAGAAAGTCAGGGAAGACATGACTATTCTGACCCAGACTTTGACTCATGATGTCTCCTGCAAACATGACTATGACACAGACTATGACTCATAATGTCTCCTGCAAACATGACTATGACACAGACTATGACTCATAATGTCTTTTGCAAGCATTACTATGACCCAGACTTTGACTCATGATGTCTCTTACAAACATGACTATGACACAGACTTTGAGTCATGACGTCTCCTGCAAACATGACTATGACACAGACTTTGACTCATGACGTCTCCTGCAAACATGACTATGGCACAGACTATGACTCATTATGTCTCCTGCAAACATGACTATGACAGACTATGACTCATAATGTCTCCTGCAAACATGACTATGACAGACTATGACTCATAATGTCTCCTGCAAACATGACTATGACAGACTATGACTCATAATGTCTCCTGCAAACATGACTATGACAGACTATGACTCATAATGTCTCCTGCAAACATGACTATGACAGACTATGACTCATAATGTCTCCTGCAAACATGACTATGGCACAGACTATGACTCATAATGTCTCCTGCAAACATGACTATGACACAGACTTTGACTCATGACGTCTCCTGCAAACATGACTATGACACAGACTATGACTCATGACGTCTCCTGCAAACATGACTATGACACAGACTATGACTCATAATGTATCCTGCAAACATGACTATGACAGACTATGACTCATGATGTCTCCTGCAAACATGACTATGACACAGACTTTGACTCATGACGTCTCCTGCAAACATGACTATGACACAGACTTTGACTCATGACGTCTCCTGCAAACATGACTATGACACAGACTATGACTCATGACGTCTCCTGCAAACATGACTATGACACAGACTATGACTCATAATGTCTCCTGCAAACATGACTATGACAGACTATGACTCATAATGTCTCCTGCAAACATGACTATGACACAGACTATGACTCATGACGTCTCCTGCAAACATGACTATGACACAGACTTTGACTCATGACGTCTCCTGCAAACATGACTATGACACAGACTATGGCATCTATCAATGAGAACAACAATACTTACAATGGGAAAAATGGAGTGAGAGGGGAAGGCCCTAGCATACTGAAAGAGAAGGCCATTGCGAAATTTCCAATGATTATCAGCGTCTTTGGCAGTTTCTGGAAAAAAAATGTGTATAAGTTATCAAATGATAATGCTACAACATCCTATTATTTCTAACTTTATGTTCAGTGAGGACAAATTTGACTGCAAGACTTCAATCCTTTCTTCATGAATCAAATGAATGGTACAGTATACGCCTTGATGAACCACTGTTAGAGGTACACATTTTAATGTTTTGTTCTATATTAAAATTAGGATTTTTTGGCTCTGTAGATGATTATTGTTACATTAGCCCATAACTATAAATGAGCTGAGCTGATGAGATGTATGAAAAACAAGTATGTAGATATAATGGTTTTTGTACAATTCTCCTTTTTGCTATTTTTGATAAAGGAATGAAATGAGGAAAAACAAGGAAATTGGAAAACAAAATTAACGAAAACACAATTTTTTATTTTTGCTTCAAAATGATGTCTAACCAACAGAAACTTTATCCTTGATAATAAGCAGCTTTACATCATGTTTTTCTTACTTTGGTGTCCCCTATCCATCCCCATAGAGGTGCTGTAAAAGCATATAGACCAGGACCAATCAGAAACATCAAACCAATCTGTATGACAGTCAGGTGCAACTAGTAACAAAAACAATAAATCTAATACAGAATTTTTTACATTCTTTTCTCCAAATCTATATTATTACAAAATGCACTGTATTTGTATATTCTGGAATAACTATTTTCTGTTATTACCATGAAGAAGAGGCCCAAGGGGTCTTCATCACTCATCTGGCTAATCCAGCTATTCAGTCATTTAACAAAGAATTTTAAACAAGACAAATAGTTTCAAAATATTTATTATATATATTCAATATATATATATACAAGGCCAGACCGTGGGATGTATTACACAAGGCCAGATCATGGGATATAGTACACAAGGAAAGACTGTGGGATATATTACACAAGGCCAGACCGTGGGATATAGTACACAAGGCAAGACCGTGGGATATATTACACAAGGCCAGACCGTGGGATATATTACACAAGGCCAGACTGTGGGATATATTACACAAGGCCAGACCATGGGATATATTACACAAGGCCAGACCGTGGAATATATTACACAAGGCCAGACCATGGGATATATTACACATGGGATATAGATCATACATGGGATATATTACACAAGGCCAGACCATGGGATATATTACACAAGGCCAGACCATGGGATATAGTACACATGGGATATATTACACAAGGCCAGACCATGGGATATATTACACAAGGCCAGACCATGGGATATATTACACAAAGCCAGACCATGGGATATAGTACACATGGGATATATTACACAAGGCCAGACCATGGGATATAGTACACATGGGATATATTACACAAGGCCAGACCATGGGATATAGTACACATGGGATATATTACACAAAGCCAGACCATGGGATATAGTACACATGGGATATATTACACAAAGCCAGACCATGGGATATAGTACACATGGGATATATTACACAAGGCCAGACCATGGGATATATTACACAAGGCCAGACCATGGGATATATTACACAAGGCCAGACTGTGGGATATATTACACAAGGCCAGACCATGGGATATATTACACAAGGCCAGACTGTGGGATATATTACACAAGGCCAGACCATGGAATATATTACAGAAGGCCAGACCATGGGATATATTACACAAGGCCAGACCATGGGATATATTACACAAGGCCAGACCATGGGATATATTACACAAGGTCAGACCGTGGGATATATTACACATGGGATATATATCACAAGGCCAGACCATGGGATATATTACACAAGGCCAGACCATGGGATATATTACACAAGGTCAGACCGTGGGATATATTACACATGGGATATATATCACAAGGCCAGACCATGGGATATATTACACATGGGATATATATCATACATGGGATATATTACACAAGGCCAGACTGTGGGATATATTACACAAGGCCAGACCATGGGATATATTACACAAGGCCAGACCATGGGATATATTACACATGGGATATATATCATACATGGGATATATTACACAAGGCCAGAACATGGGATATATTACACATGGGATATATATCATACATGGGATATATTACACAAGGCCAGACCATGGGATATATTACACAAGGCCAGACCATGTGAAATATTACACAAGGGCAGACCATGGGATATATTACACATGGGATATATATCACAAGGCCAGACCATGGGATATATCATACATGGGATATATTACACAAGGCCAGACCATGGGATATATTACACATGGGATATATATCATATATGGGATATATTATACAAGGCCAGACTGTGGGATATATTACACAAGGCCAGACCATGGGATATATTACACATGGGATATATTACACAAGGCTAGACCATGTGTTCTATTGTATAAGGCCAGACCCTGTCTTCTATTGTTTAAGGCCTCTGGCATGGTGTAATATAACATTATTACCAGAACCTAGAATCTTTTGACTCTTACAAGGCTTGAAATATTTGTATATTATACCTCTTTGAGACGTTTAGCATATGTCGGATCAAAGAAACCCAATGCATAGGCTCCACAGATAATACAAACTGCTGTTATTACACACAATGGACTTCGTAACAGATTCAACATTGATTTTCTTTTCGGAGTCCCTGAGTCTGAAATCAAACAATCGGTAAATATTGACATTAGCACTACATTAATTTGGCCAGCTGCCTGTCAATCAATGTTTTCATCCAATAATAAGAAGACTCAATTATACAGATTTGACATATAGTAGAAATGAGGAGGTAAGAACAAGCAACGCTTTAACATAGATTTATTGTTTCATATACTTAATTACCAAAACAAGCAGAAGCTGCTGCAATCCTGCTTGATGCTAGTGAATGAATTCAGCAGTTTTCATTTAATTTATGTCTATAATTATGGAACTCACCATTAATTTTTGGCATTGAGTAAGCACTTATGATAGCACAGACAACCAGAATAGACCCCATAGTGAAGAAGGGCAGCCCATACCCGCCAGCCTGTAATGTAGAACAAACTCCTGTCACAAGCTATATATTAACACTAGAACAAACTCCTGTCACTAGCTATATATTAACACTATAGAACAAACTCCTGTCACTAGCTATATATTAACACTATAGAACAATCTCTTACACAAGCTATATATATATATATATTAACACTATAGAACAAACTCCTGTCACTAGCTATATATTAACACTAGAACAAACTCCTGTCACTAGCTATATATTAACACTATAGAACAAACTCTAACACAAGCTATATATTAACACTAGAACAAACTCCTGTCACAAGATATATATATTCACACTAGAACAAACTCCTGTCACTAGCTATATATTAACACTATAGAACAAACTCCTGTCACTAGCTATATATTAACACTATAGAACAAACTCCTGTCACAAGCTATATATTAACACTATAGAACAAACTCCTGTCACTAGCTATATATTAACACTATAGAACAAACTCTTACACAAGCTATATATTAACACTATAGAACAAACTCTAACACAAGATATATATTAACACTATAGAACAAACTCCTGTCACTAGCTATATATTAACACTAGAGAACAAACTCCTGTCACAAGCTATATATTAACACTATAGAACAAACTCTAACACAAGCTATATATTAACACTATAGAACAAACTCTAACACAAGCTATATATTAACACTATAGAACAAACTCCTGTCACTAGCTATATATTAACACTATAGAACAAACTCTTACACAAGCTATATATTAACACTATAAAACAAACTCCTGTCACTAGCTATATATTAACACTATAGAACAAACTCCTGTCACTAGCTATATATTAACACTATAGAACAAACTCCTGTCACAAGCTATATATTAACACTATAGAACAAACTCTAACACAAACTATATATTAACACTATAGAACAATCTCTTACACAAGCTATATATTAACACTATAGAACAAACTCCTGTCATTAGCTATATATTAACACTAGAACAAACTCCTGTCACTAGCTATATATTAACACTATAGAACAAACTCTAACACAAGCTATATATTAACACTAGAACAAACTCCTGTCACTAGCTATATATTAACACTATAGAACAAACTCTAACACAAGCTATATATTAACACTAGAACAAACTCCTGTCACAAGCTATATATTAACACTAGAACAAACTCCTGTCACTAGCTATATATTAACACTATAGAACAAACTCCTGTCACTAGCTATATACTAACACTATAGAACAAACTCCTGTCAGAAGCTATATATTAACACTATAGAACAAACTCTTACACAAGCTATATATTAACACTATCAAACAAACTCCTGTCACTAGCTATATATTAACACTATAGAACAAACTCCTGTCACTAGCTATATATTAACACTATAGAACAAACTCTTACACAAGCTATATATTAACACTATAGAACAAACTCCTGTCACTAGCTATATATTAACACTATAGAACAAACTCCTGTCACTAGCTATATATTAACACTATAGAACAAACTCTAACACAAGATATATATTAACACTATAGAACAAACTCCTGTCACTAGCTATATATTAACACTAGAGAACAAACTCCTGTCACTAGCTATATATTAACACTATAGAACAAACTCTTACACAAGCTATATATTAACACTATAGAACAAACTCCTGTCACAAGCTATATATTAACACTAGAGAACAAACTCCTGTCACAAGCTATATATTAACACTAGAGAACAAACTCTAACACATGCTATATATTAACACTATAGAACAAACTCTTACACAAGCTATATATTAACACTATAGAACAAACTCCTGTCACAAGCTATATATTAACACTATAGAACAAACTCCTGTCACTAGCTATATATTAACACTATAGAACAAACTCTTACACAAGCTATATATTAACACTATAGAACAAACTCCTGTCACTAGCTATATATTAACACTATAGAACAAACTCCTGTCACAAGCTATATATTAACACTATAGAACAAACTCCTGTCAGAAGCTATATATTAACACTATAGAACAAACTCCTGTCACTAGCTATATATTAACACTATAGAACAAACTCTAACACAAGATATATATTAACACTATAGAACAAACTCTAACACAAGATATATATTAACACTATAGAACAAACTCCTGTCACTAGCTATATATTAACACTATAGAACAAACTCTAACACAAGATATATATTAACACTATAGAACAAACTCCTGTCACTAGCTATATATTAACACTATAGAACAAACTCCTGTCACTAGCTATATATTAACACTATAGAACAAACTCCTGTCACAAGCTATATATTAACACTATAGAACAAACTCCTGTCACTAGCTATATATTAACACTATAGAACAAACTCCTGTCACAAGCTATATATTAACACTATAGAACAAACTCCTGTCACTAGCTATATATTAACACTAGAGAACAAACTCCTGTCACAAGCTATATATTAACACTATAGAACAAACTCCTGTCACTAGCTATATATTAACACTATAGAACAAACTCCTGTCACAAGCTATATATTAACACTATAGAACAAACTCCTGTCACTAGCTATATATTAACACTATAGAACAAACTCCTGTCACTAGCTATATATTAACACTAGAGAACAAACTCCTGTCACAAGCTATATATTAACACTATAGAACAAACTCCTGTCACTAGCTATATATTAACACTATAGAACAAACTCCTGTCACAAGCTATATATTAACACTATAGAACAAACTCTAACACATGCTATATATTAACACTAGAGAACAAACTCCTGTCACAAGCTATATATTAACACTATAGAACAAACTCTAACACAAGCTATATATTAACACTATAGAACAAACTCCTGTCACTAGCTATATATTAACACTATAGAACAAACTCTAACACAAGCTATATATTAACACTATAGAACAAACTCTAACACAAGCTATATATATATATATATTAACACTATAGAACAAACTCCTGTCACTAGCTATATATTAACACTATAGAACAAACTCTAACACAAGCTATATATTAACACTATAGAACAAACTCTAACACAAGCTATATATTAACACTATAGAACAAACTCCTGTCACAAGCTATATATTAACACTATAGAACAAACTCTAACACAAGCTATATATTAACACTATAGAACAAACTCCTGTCACAAGCTATATATTAACACTATAGAACAAACTCTAACACAAGCTATATATTAACACTATAGAACAAACTCCTGTCACTAGCTATATATTAACACTATAGAACAAACTCCTGTCAGAAGCTATATATTAACACTAGAGAACAAACTCCTGTCTGAAGCTATATATTAACACTATAGAACAAACTCCTGTCACTAGCTATATATTAACACTATAGTACAAACTTTTGTCACAAGCTGTATTAACACCTGCCACATATATTTGTGCTGAATTTGGCAGTGGAGGAAAACAGCTATTTATTAGCATATTCATTAATTAGATAGAATGACTTGATAATTTACTTCATTTATCATTCATTTATCTTAAAATAGAAACATTGAGCAAGCCTTCTTTCTGGATATCTCACAAAATTGCTATCATATCTGTTGAAGCTAGTGCACAGAGCAGTCATTTTGGCTTCCCAGTGTATTATCTTACCTCATACAAGAGACTGCCTATAGTTGGGCCTACCATCAGACCTATACCACTGAAGGTCTCTAAAAGTCCCTGTTTAAAAGGAAGAAATGCATATACTATGTATCACTAATATATCACAAATCCCTGTTTAAAACAAAGCCTTTTTATATCCCTTGTAAATGTTGCCAAAAGTCTCTGTTTAAAAGGAAGAAATGCATATACTATGTATCACTAATATATAGCAAATCCCTGTTTAAAACAAAGCCTTTATATCCCTTGTAAATGTTGCCAAAAGTCTCTGTTTAAAAGAAACACATGTATATATCACTATAATACAACATCTTCTAACACAATCAGGAGAAGATTTCAGTGTGACATTTTGATGACTACATGGTCAGCTTCATCAGACAAATGACCAGTGTGGAGCGTGCTATCACTGACGTACGTAGTGTACGAGATCTACATGGTCAACTTCATCAGACAAATGACCAGTGTGGATCGTGCTATCACTGACGTACGTAGTGTACGAGATCTACATGGTCAACTTCATCAGACAAATGACCAGTGTGGAGCGTGCTATCACTGACGTACGTAGTGTACGAGATCTACATGGTCAGCTTCATCAGACAAATGACCAGTGTGGATCGTGCTATCACTGACGTACGTAGTGTACGAGATCTACATGGTCAGCTTCATCAGACAAATGACCAGTGTGGAGCGTGCTATCACTGACGTACGTAGTGTACGAGATCTACATGGTCAACTTCATCAGACAAATGACCAGTGTGGATCGTGCTATCACTGACGTACGTAGTGTACGAGATCTACATGGTCAACTTCATCAGACAAATGACCAGTGTGGAGCGTGCTATCACTGACGTACGTAGTGTACGAGATCTACATGGTCAGCTTCATCAGACAAATGACCAGTGTGGATCGTGCTATCACTGACGTACGTAGTGTACGAGATCTACATGGTCAGCTTCATCAGACAAATGACCAGTGTGGAGCATGCTATCACTGACGTACGTAGTGTACGAGATCTACACAGTCAGCTTCATCAGACAAATGACCAGTGTGGAGCGTGCTATCACTGACGTACGTAATGTACGAGATCTACACAGTCAGCTTCATCAGACAAATGACCAGTGTGGGGCGTGCTATCACTGACATAGGTAGTGTGCGAGATCAAACAAATGACTAGTGAATGAGACAGTAAGGAAATGACCAACTTTTTTTGATTCTGCTTTAATCCTATGTAAAGTCAAAGATAGTGTGACAAGGTGGTAAAAAGATCATAGAAAAAAGAACACAAATTGTAACAATGTAGTTTATTTGGCAAGGCTCTGTTTATTATGGGTCCTGAATGTGTGAGAGTCTGTGGCTCCTTCCTACATGTTTACCACTGCAGGCCTGCTGCAGAATATCCAAATGGCCTAATTGACCAACCGCCTGAAATGTTTTCTCTGTCAACTATATTGGAATTTTCAATGATATGATTCTGCTGTGTAGAAAGACCTGTAACTTTTGATAAATTGATCTGGGACTGAGAATGCTTTCACTCTGATCTCATGAATTTTCTGCTTTTTGGGGATTCTGTGTTTCTATCTAATGTTTATTAAGTCTGACTCCAATTCTCTTGCCCGTTTCATCGATATATATTGCATTGCAGTTCTCGCATCATATTCTTCATTACTCGCTTCCAGTACAAGTTTAATCCTTGGATGGACTAAGAAAAGCACAAAGTGTAAGGTTTCATGGCTGTTGCAATACCATGACTATGTTAAATCCTCTGAATGGTTTCTAACAGGGCGTTGATGTAAGGGACGACTACCTGTGCTTTTATTGTTCTCTTTTCCTTGGTGTTTCACCATTTAGTCTTTTTTTTATTTCTCGAAATTTGTTCTTATTTTTGTTTCTGGCTGCATTGCATAAGTATACTTACAATCACTGTGGCTACATGGTTAGGGAACTCGTTAGACAGGATGGCAAAACTGGCCGTGATGTAGGCAGATGCTCCAAGTGCTTCGACAGTTCTACTGAGGAAACACATGACTATGAAGATATTTCCATCAGGACACTTATCCAACAGCCTAAAAAATCCAGACACAATATGTTAAGTAGTTAGTCTCCATCAGTTTACAATTTTTGAATTGATGTTGTATCAAAAATCATTGCCTTAGCGATAAATTTCATCTCAATACATTCATTTCAACATAAACAAGAAGGATTTTATTTCAGAAATTTCTTTCAGTTGGTTAAAACTTCAGCTGCAAAATAGTTTTTAACACGAGATCCCAGATGGATCTTGGTGCCCCCCCCCCCAATTTTTTATTTGTTCTTTGAAAGTAGGATTTTTTCCCTTCTTTCCACTACTCTCCTCTCTTTTTGTTCCTAATGATAAAAAATTTGAACATTCCTTTGCAGAAATAGCAATAATAATCTTTACTAGGCAAAATTCAAGATGACGACCTGTCAGCCATTTTGTTTTTCTGATCGATCACAAAATCAAAAGGCACAACTAGGGAATCTACACATGAAATTTGAGAAAGACCTTTGCAGTAGTTCTCAAGAAATAGCATAACAAACTTTACTTTGCAAAATCTAAGATGGCCACCTGTCAATCTCAAATCGAACGGCCATCTGATGATGGTGGGTTAAGAAATGCATGGTAATTAAAAGTAAACAATTGTTTGTATCATACAGAGGTAGTGATCAGTTTCTACAAGGTGACTTTGTCTCACATTTTACCCTGGCTGTTTGTGGGGTGATGAAGATGACAAACAAACAACACAATAACTAAGGATTGTTAATAAACAACAAAGTGGTTCTAAATATAGATTACAGATATATATCACTCTACATACTGAGGTTGTAGTGGGAAAAAGTTATAACAAAACAAGAGGTAAAGTAATGTTGAGAGGATATCTCTTTTCACTGAATTAATCAAAGTCAGATGAATACACAAATACCAGAAATATCAAAATTATATGTACAATTTCTCTGAGATACCATATCACGTACACTTTCCTGTCACCATGGGTTTCCTAAGTTATATGTACAATTTCTCTGAGAAACCATATCGCATACACTTTCCTGTCACCATGGGTTTCCTAAGTTATATGTACAATTTCTCTGAGATACCATATCACGTACACTTTCCTGTCACCATGGGTTTCCTAAGTTATATGTACAATTTCTCTGAGATACCATATCACGTACACTTTCCTGTCACCATGGGTTTCCTAAGTTATATGTACAATTTCTCTGAGATACCATATCACGTACACTTTCCTGTCACCATGGGTTTCCTAAGTTATATGTACAATTTCTCTGAGATACCATATCACGTACACTTTCCTGTCACCATGGGTTTCCTAAGTTATATGTACAATTTCTCTGAGATACCATATCACGTACACTTTCCTGTCACCATGGGTTTCCTAATTTTGTAAAATCCAAATAATTTTATGAATTTGAAAAAAAACCAACTTCAGTGTTATATATGATGAAGTGTTATATATGATTCAGTGTTAAGAGAGAGGCTGTTTATCTCACTACATAATTCTCTATTACTTACCCAAATAATATTGCACAGACACCACAAACCATCACACCGCTGATGAACATAAATTTAGAACCAATGTTTGTTATCTGAAACAAGATCAGGGATGGCTGAACTAAACTTTAACACAAGTTTGCGATTAGAAGCTTTATAATCAATTTACAAATGATTAATTTAATAAAGATTTCACTTAAAAGAGATCAGTCAAGAAGCTTTCTTCGACATCATTATTCTGCATTTACTCCAGGGGGCCAACACAACCAAAGAGGGCCAAGATAACCTTTAATCAAATTCTAACTCAGTCAAGGGGTGGGCTTATCACCGCATTATATATGGGTGGGCTTATTACTAGATGTGGGCTTATTTCTAGATGTGGGCTAATTACCAGATGTGGGTTAATTGTCAGATGTGGGCGAATTACCAGACGTGGGCTAATTACCAGATGTGGGTTAATTACTAGATGTGGGCTAATTACCAGATGTGGGTTAATTGTCAGATGTGGGCGAATTACCAGACGTGGGCTAATTACCAGATGTGGGTTAATTACTAGATGTGGGCTAATTACCAGATGTGGGTTAATTGTCAGATGTGGGCGAATTACTAGACGTGGGCTAATTACCAGATGTGGGTTAATTACTAGATGTGGGCTAATTACCAGATGTGGGTTAATTGTCAGATGTGGGCGAATTACTAGACGTGGGCTAATTACCAGATGTGGGTTAATTACTAGATGTGGGCTAATTACCAGATGTGGGTTAATTGTCAGATGTGGGCGAATTACTAGACGTGGGCTAATTACCAGATGTGGGTTAATTACTAGATGTGGGCTAATTACTAGATGTGGGCTAATTTCTAGATGTGGGTTACCTACCAGATGTGGGCTAATTACCAGATGTGGACTATTTACCAGATGTGGGCTAATTACCAGATGTGGACTATTTACCAGATATGGGCTAATTTCCATATGTGGGCTAATTACTAGATGTGGGTTAATTACCAGATGTGGGCTAATTACTAGATGTCGGCTAATTACCAGATGTGGGCTAATTACCAGATGTGGGCTATGTGGGCTAACTGTCAGACACACACTGAACTAAATCTTATGAGTTAACTTTCAGTTTAACAGGAACATCAATTACAATAAAATCAAACATGACATATTATAACTTACATAGTTTCCAAACACTGGAGCAGTTATGAAAATAACTAATTCAAACACTGCGAACACAAATCCAGTGACTGTCTCAGACACACCCTTCAATGCAGCCTGAAATTAAAGATAAAAACATATAATTCCTTAAATGAAAAAAATGAAATAGTAAATCCCCCGATTACTTCAGGTGAGGATGATCAGGATTGTTATTTCTACATGGACAACTAAATCTAATGAGAAGATTCTAAATAGGATTTCAGAGACAATACAACTAAAATTATCAATACAAGAGGGATAACCACCAAATTTTATCTATTGATCTATTAACTACTCAACACTTCAAATAATTCCATTCAGGGTAACATTTTAGTCTCACTTTTCCAAACAAGAGCATTAAATCATTTCCTTTTCCTAAGATATGAAGTCAAATTGAGGATATAAAAATGGCCATATTTATATTGATATGAGAGAAGTACAAGTTACATTATAACTGAACCCCAGGACTAGGGTGATATGAGGGATGTACAAGTTACATTATAACTGAACCCCTGGAGTAGGGTGATATGAGGGACGTACAAGTTATATTGTAACTGAACCCCAGGACTAGGGTAATATGAAATAAGTGGATTTTGAATTCATTGATGTAAGCCCCACCCTGACCAGTGACAGGCTGGTCAAACCCCATATTGACCAGTGACAAACTGGTGAAACCCCATACTGACCAGTGACAAACTGGTGAAACCCCATACTGACCAGTGACAGGCTGGTCAAACCCCATACTGACCAGTGACAGACTGGTCAAACCCTATACTGACCAGTTACAGACTGGTCAAATCCCATACTGACCAGTTCAACCCTGGTTAAACAACATACTGACCAGTGACAGACTGGTCAAATCCCATACTGACCAGTGACAGAGTGGTTAAACCCCATATTGACCAGTGACAGGCTGGTCAAACCCAATACTGACCAGTGACAGGCTGGTCAAACCCCATACTGACCAGTGACAGGCTTTTCAAATCCCATACTGACCAGTGACAGGATGGTCAAACCCCATACTGACCAGTGACAGGCTGGTCAAACCCCATACTGACCAGTGACAGGCTGGTCAAACCACATACTGACCAGTGACAGCCTGGTCAAACCACATACTAACCAGTGACAGCCTGGTCAAACCCCATACTGACCAGTGACAGGCTGGTTAAACCCCATACTTACCAGTGACAGCCTGGTCAAACCCCATACTGACCAGTGACAGGCTGGTCAAACCCCGTACAGACCAGTTACAGCCTGGTTAAACCCCATACTGACCAGTTATAGTTGGTCATCATCAAGTCCTATTCTGACCTATGCTTTCTTACTAAATTAGTCATACATACCTCTGTTGGATAAAACGGTGCCAAAAGTGAGAAACATGTACAGGCACAAAAGTTTACAAATCCCATTGCAAAAAGTAAGATTTTTTGTTGTCTTGGAGTACGACTGAATGAAAATGCATCATCTGTTGTTCCATTATTATCTTTGTTCACAATATCAACATTATTAGCATCGTCAGACATGCCACCATAATTCTTCATCAGCTTTGTTGTAGGGCCAATCTGATGATCCACATCGGGGCTTTGGATGTGTGGATCTTCATCAACCAAATCCATTGTTTTCTGATGACGTCTACTATCACTGGAGTTTGAAGCCATCTCACTGTAAAATAAATGTAGACCTATCTCAGTGGGAGATTGAAGCCATCTCACTGTAAAATATAGACCTATCTCAGTGGGAGATTGAAGTCATCTCACTGTAAAATATAGACCTATCTCAGTGGGAGATTGAAGCCATCTCACTGTAAAATATAGACCTATCTCAGTGGGAGATTGAAGTCATCTCACTGTAGAATAAATGTAGACCTATCTCAGTGGGAGATTGAAGTCATCTCACTGTAAAATATAGACCTATCTCAGTGGGAGATTGAAGTCATCTCACTGTAAAATATAGACCTATCTCAGTGGGAGATTGAAGCCATCTCAGTGTAAAATATAGGCCTATCTCAGTGGGAGATTAAAGTCATCTCACTGTAGAATAAATGTAGACCTATCTCAGTGGGAGATTGAAGCCATCTCAGTGTAAAATAAATGTAGACCTATCTCAGTGGGAGATTGAAGCCATCTCAGTGTAAAATAAATGTAGACCTATCTCAGTGGGAGATTGAAGCCATCTCACTGTAAAATATAGACCTATCTCAGTGGGAGATTTAAGTCATCTCACGGTAAAATAAATACAGACCTATCTCAGTGGGAGATTGAGTTTGGAGCTGCTGAGTTCAACAATATTCATACACAGACAATGACAAGTTAGACTTGTGAGCAAGTCTAACAGATACAGGCCATTATTTACTACAATACATCCGATAGAAATTCCACCTGGATTCTCTGGCTTACATTACTTAAGCTCTATCAATCCAGCCATAGAGAAATTCACCCTAGCCAAGCAGTATATTGTGACAGGTATTATGGTTACATGTTTTGAACTTCATATTGTTATCTAAATTATCATAATAAATATATCAGTTTATATGAAAGATATCAATATTAGGACCTGACATGTACTGTTAACGTGACATCAATATTAGGACCAGTCATGTACTGTTAACGTGACATCAATATTAGGACCTGACATGTACTGTTAACGTGACATCAATATTAGGACCTGACATATACTGTTAACATGACATCAATACTAGGACCTGACATATACTGTTAACGTGACATCAATATTAGGACCGTCATGCACTGTTAACGTGACATCAATATTAGGACCGTCATGCACTGCTAACATGACATCAATATTAGGACCTGACATATACTGTTAACGTGACATCAATATTAGGACCTGACATATACTGTTAACGTGACATCAATATTAGGACCTGACATATACTGTTAACGTGACATCAATATTAGGACCGTCATGTATTGTTAACGTGACATCAATATTAGGACCTGACATGTACTGTTATTGTTGATAAAGTTAAAAGGGAAGTTATTGTACAAGATTATACTCATGGTGGTTTAAAAATGCTTAATATTTGAAATGGAGTTGGATTAAAAGATTATATTCATCTGCAGGCAAATGGAGAGTAATTTTGGAGAAATTAGTGAACGTAAATAGACTGCTAGATATTGGAGGTAACTATATAAAGATTTCTCAAGAAAACTTACAACTTCAAAGACATTTATCGAATTTCCTTATATGGTTAAATTATGAATATCATATATGTCTTAAATCGACAGCAACAATTTACAAATTTCACTCTGTCTATAAATAACTAAATACCGTTGAAGCAGATACATGTGTCATTAACAGTCAAGTGTATAGTCGCCTGGCTTCAAAAGTGTCCCAATTTCAGACCTCGGTAACACAGGGTCGTGAGAATTGTGAAGGCAATAGCAAATTTCATCACGTTAACACTGGTGATATTACAGTCAACAAGGATATATCTATGTATTGGTGTATTTTTTCATATTTTAGACCTTACAATCAACACTTCAGTGTATAATTGAATGATGCATGCATGCGGTTGGCATTTTAAAAACCGTGTGTATTGCACAATGTTTACCTACCTGTGTATCGGGTGTAAGCTTGTTCAACCAAAGGTAGATATGTTTACTACCAATAATGAATGTCAGGTTGATACATCTATACCATTTATATGAATGAACCCGTTTAAACTTACGGACAGTGATGACATAGTAAGATAACACTCCCCTTTCCTATTTCACAACACAGTGCAAAATTATTTTATCTTAAAAAAATCAGTATGAGTTACCTCTCTTTATTAATGATGAAAATGACGCTTCTTTTTTTCCCCAAACAATTAATTTAATTATTTCATTGATATGCTGGCAACATTTATTTGAATAGTACTTAGGAGTTATTAAAAAACTGAATTTAAGATATAAATAATAAATATATTTTTCATATCCTTTTAACGTGAACAGGCAATCTAATTATAAATTTATAATATTCCTCCTCGTATAGTGTAGTCGTCGTGGCCGAGTGGTTAAGGCGATAGACTAGAAATCTATTGGGGTCTCCCCGCGCAGGTTCGAATCCTGCCGACGACGCTTATTTTTTTTTCCCATTTTTTTCTTTACAAGCCAATCAAAAACCGCTAAGCATATCCGAAAAGACTTTATCAAAACAAAATATAAAAAGATTGTAAATTATGAACCCTGGCACTTCTAAAAAGTAATCTAAGTCCCAAAGAATTATACAGAAACAAATTTGTCTTATGTTTTTGTATTTCCTTGGACTAGACAAATTAATAAACTATAAACTATTACAATGGCTATCATAACCTGTGATCACTACAAACAGGTGTCTTGTATTACAAGTCTATAACTAACTGTGATCAATTAACAAGAGGGTCAAGGGGTTGGCATCATTCATCTGGCTAATTCAGCTCTCAAATTTCAAAAATGACCAATACCTGTATCTTTCTACAGAAGGATTTTCAAGAACTAACATTTGCCCTATTGGGCCCCTTCTATCATCCGCAGAACGTTGATTCCCCTTCACCCAAGAAGGTTTCAGTCAAAATTTGGACAATATACATTCACTCGTAAAAGAGGAGTAGGATTTTAAAGTATTTACTTATTGTGCCTTGCTCCTTCTAGACAACAGACACTAGACAACAGACACCAGACAACAGATAACAGACACTAGACAACAGAAACAGACAACAGACACCAGACAACAGACACCAGACACCAGACACCAGACAACAGACACTAGACAACAGAAAACAGACACCAGGCAACAGACAACAGTCACCGGACAACAGTCAACAGACAGTAGACAACAGACACCTGACAACAGTCAACAGTCACCAGACAACAGACAACAGACACTAGACAACAGACAACAAACACTAGACAACAGACAACAGTCAACAGTCACCAGACAACAGAAAACAGACACTAGACAACAGACAACAGTCACCAGACAACAGAGAACAGACAACAGACAACAGACACTATACAACAGACAACAGACAACAGTCACCAGACAACAGTCAACAGTCGCCAGACAACAGACAACAGACACCAGGTAACAGACAACAGTCACTGGACAACAGACATCAGACAACAGACACCTGGCAACAGACAACAGACAACAGTCAACAGTCAACAGTCACCAGACAACAGACAATAGACAACAGACAACAGTCAACAGTCACCAGACAACAGTCAACAGTCACCAGACAACAGACAACAGTCACCAGACAACAGACAACAGACAACAGACACCAGGCAACAGATACCAGACAACAGACAACAGAGAACAGACAACAGACACCACACAACAGACAACTGACACTGGACAATGAACGCTGTGCCATGGCATAAGTTCAAGGTCCATTGGACCAGTTGAGCTAAAACATTTATTGCATACATACAGTGTTTTGTAATAAATACTAGACAACTGTGAAAAAATAAATGAGACTCATATGGAACTAATACGTTAACTTTAATAATATCACAGCAACACCATTCATCAGTCTATAAATATACAGCCAATCAAGGGATATAAATAGTATCTGAGACAAAAAAATAGAATATAAAATCTCATATAAACAGAAAACCAACAAATAAAGATTGATCCCATGATCCACTGGCTATCCACTGAACAGTGTAATATTCTAGTGCGTGTCACCAGTGTAACACACAGGGTATTGTTGTTCACTGCCAGCACCAGGCAGTAACTGATTGTGATATCATAATGTGGAAAATGGCATGACATCATGAATAAAATATTGTGCAGCAAAATGGCTGCTTCTATTTGATGTTCAGAATTTTTATCATAAAACATGTCCAAAAGTCATAAAAAACAAAGCATTTCTTATTTTCTATACAAACATTATGTAAAATACATGCATTTAATATCATGGCACATCATGTAATGTATTTTTAACAACACATTTCGATACAATATTAAGAACATCACAGTCAACAGAAAACAATCACCAAGGTATAAAGTACAGAAGGATCTATACACAGTGGTAAACATGGACACTGTGGTACTTAAAGTACTGGGATATACCTGTATACGTAGGATCTATCCTACTCTAATAGAAAAATATGATAAACCATTATAATACCGAGACTTTTTGATAAAGATGTGCCATTATAAGGTGGGGACGGAGTCTTGTGATAAAGTTGTGTCATTATAAGGTGGTGACGGAGTCTTGTGATAAAGTTGTGTCATTATAAGGAGGGGACGGAGTCTTGTGATAAAGCTGTGTTATTATAAGTTGGAGACGGAGTCTTGTGATCAAGCTGTGTCATTATAAGGAGGAGACGGAGTCTTGTGATAAAGTTGTGTCATTATAAGGAGGGGACGGAGTCTTGTGATAAAGCTGTGTCATTTTAAGGTGGGGACGGAGTCTTGTGATAAAGCTTTGACATTATAAGGTGGGAAGGGAGTCTTGTGATAAAGCTTTGACATTATAAGGTGGGGACAGAGTCTTGTGATAAAGCTGTGTCATTATAAGGTGATGATGGAGTCTTGTGATAAAGTTGTGTCATTTTAAGGTGGTGACGGAGTCTTGTGATAAAGTTGTGTCATTATAAGGAGGGGACGGAGTCTTGTGATAAAGCTGTGTTATTATAAGTTGGAGACGGAGTCTTGTGATCAAGCTGTGTCATTATAAGGAGGAGACAGAGTCTTGTGATAAAGTTGTGTCATTATAAGGAGGGGACGGAGTCTTGTGATAAAGCTGTGTCATTTTAAGGTGGGGACGGAGTCTTGTGATAAAGCTTTGACATTATAAGGTGGGAAGGGAGTCTTGTGATAAAGCTTTGACATTATAAGGTGGGGACAGAGTCTTGTGATAAAGCTGTGTCATTATAAGGTGATGATGGAGTCTTGTGATAAAGTTGTGTAATTATAAGATGGTGACGGAGTCTTGTGATAAAGCTGTGTCATTTTAAGGTGGGGACGGAGTCTTGTGATAAAGTTGTGTCATTTTAAGGTGGTGACGGAGTCTTGTGATAAAGTTGTGTCATTATAAGGAGGGGACGGAGTCTTGTGATAAAGCTGTGTTATTATAAGTTGGAGACGGAGTCTTGTGATAAAGTTGTGTCATTATAAGGAGGGGACGGAGTCTTGTGATAAAGCTGTGTCATTTTAAGGTGGGGACGGAGTCTTGTGATAAAGCTTTGACATTATAAGGTGGGGAGGGAGTCTTGTGATAAAGCTTTGACATTATAAGGTGGGGACAGAGTCTTGTGATAAAGCTGTGTCATTATAAGGTGATGATGGAGTCTTGTGATAAAGTTGTGTCATTTAAAGGTGGTGACGGAGTCTTGTGATAAAGTTGTGTCATTATAAGTAGGGGACGGAGTCTTGTGATAAAGCTGTGTTATTATAAGTTGAAGACGGAGTCTTGTGATAAAGCTGTGTCATTTTAAGGTGGGGACGGAGTCTTGTGATAAAGCTTTGACATTATAAGGTGGGAAGGGAGTCTTGTGATAAAGCTTTGACATTATAAGGTGGGGACAGAGTCTTGTGATAAAGCTGTGTCATTATAAGGTGATGATGGAGTCTTGTGATAAAGTTGTGTAATTATAAGATGGTGACGGAGTCTTGTGATAAAGCTGTGTCATTTTAAGGTGGGGACGGAGTCTTGTGATAAAGTTGTGTCATTTTAAGGTGGTGACGGAGTCTTGTGATAAAGTTGTGTCATTATAAGGAGGGGACGGAGTCTTGTGATAAAGCTTTGACATTATAAGGTGGGGAGGGAGTCTTGTGATAAAGCTTTGACATTATAAGGTGGGGACAGAGTCTTGTGATAAAGCTGTGTCATTATAAGGTGATGACAGAGTCTTGTGATAAAGTTGTGTCATTATAAGGTGGGGACGGAGTCTTGTGATAAAGCTGTGTCACTATAAGGTGATGATGGAGTCTTGTGATAAAGCTGTGTTATTATAAGGTGGGGAGGGAGTCTTGTGATAAAGCTGTGTCATTATAAGGTGGGGACGGAGTCTTGTGATAAAGCTGTGTCATTATAAGGTGGGGAGGGAGTCTTGTGATAAAGCTGTGACATTATAAGGTAGGGAGGGAGTCTTGTGATAAAGCTGTGTCATTATAAGGTGAGGACGGAATAAAAAGATGGCTTCCTATGACATGCCATTTCAGCAAAGAGTATACAATTATATAACAAATGTAACAGTAGGTAGTATGTTATATCACTGATATCCATTTTTTCAATAGGTAACTCCTGTTCCTTGCCACATCCAGAGAGTGGAATCTTTAACATTGTCTATACAAAAACGTGAGGCCCATTGATCTAAACAGTTGTTGGATTATGATAATCTGCTGACAGCACTATAGTAATCAGCTGATTCAAAAAGGTTGGAATATCCAAAAAAAGTTCTTTATTTCAGATCAACAACAATCCCAACATTATCTGAATCAGAGAAATTCTCAATATCATTATCTGAAGGAGAGAAATTCTCAATATTATTATCTGAAGGAGAGAAATTCTCAATATCATTATCTGAAGGAGGGAAATTCTCAATATCATTATCTGAAGGAGAGAAATCCTCGATGTCATTATCTGAAGGAGAGAAATTCTCAATATTATTATCTGCAGGAGAGAAATTCTCCATATTACTATCAACCATTTCCTCATTACCATATTCCAAAGAAAGGAAGTAAATATTTGATGACATACTATTTGCAGTATATTCTTGACAAAATCTCTAGAATCAGTTTCTTTCCACCTTTTGATATGTATATGGTGGCTCTATCAAGCACTATTTAGAGGAGCACACAGACTGATGACTGTTTTGGTGTTGGTGGTGGTGGTGCCTGTGCCTCAGATTGGGATGGATTCTTGTTGGATACCAGTGAATGTTTGATCTGTGTATCAGTGTTTTGTTGTACTGTATTTCCTGGTTGTTTATTCTGAGACTTTTGGGTCTGTGTATCAGTGTTTTGTTGTACTGTATTTCCTGGTTGTTTATTCTGAGACTTTTGGGTCTGTGTATCAGTGTTTTGTTGTCCTGTATTTGGTGGTTGTTTATTCTGAGACTTTTGGGTCTGTTTATCAGTGTTTTGTTGTCCTGTATTTGGTGGTTGTTTATTCTGAGACTTTTGGGTCTGTGTATCAGTGTTTTGTTGTACTGTATTACCTGGTTGTTTATTCTGAGACTTTTGGGTCTGTGTATCAGTGTTTTGTTGTCCTGTATTACCTGGTTGTTTATTCTGAGACTTTTGGGTCTGTGTATCAGTGTTTTGTTGTACTGTATTTGGTGGTTGTTTATTCTGAGACTTTTGGGTGTGTGTATCAGTGTTTTGTTGTCCTGTATTTGGTGGTTCTTTTGATTCAGATTTTGGCAAGACTATAGCTGCCTCAGGTCTTTCTTGTTCCTGGTTTTTTTCCTCAACTGCAAATGGTGAAACAGATTCTTTTATCTTCATGTTAAGCTCATCAAATTGATCTCCAACCCAGGTCATTTGGACCACCTCATCACGGTAGAAATTAATGAAGAGAAGCTGTGTGAAGATCAAACTCATGGGTCCAGCAGGAGGCCAGTCTATCTTCTCCAGGAGAAGGGGAATCATTGGCTTTTTGAGAAAATCGGCCAGACTCACCTCCCTGCGACAGTTGGCTGACAACGCATACTTAGTTGTTACACAGCTCAGAACTATTTTGCAACCTCGAATCCCCCTGTCAATTTTATCATAGAGCGAGTCCCCACCTCCCATCTGGTAAATATCCATCCAGCAGCTGTACCCCAGCTCGTTCAGTCTCCTGTAAAGCTGTTTTACCTGTTTTTGTTTACCCCATTGATAGGACAAGAAGATGTCAGGAGGTGCCTCATCTTCCTGGATTATAAACAATAACAGATAGTAACGGGATAGATTCTACATATGATTTAGAAAAACAGGTTCTAGTTATCAATATTTATTGATAAAATCAATATAAACAATGATATAACATTAGAGCTGATATGTAAGCACACTGGAAAGTACAAGGCATGCTGATGATGACTACCCATCACCCTGATAAGAAGTTTAGTACACACAGCACAAAATCTATGGAATAGCTTCTAATATACGATGAACTTTTCCTTGATACATATTGCACTATCTAATATATATGATCTACCCACAAGGATCTGTGAACCAGATATGTTACATGAAGGTGTGGTAGCTGAGGTTGTCAACATCATCAGTAAGTAATATGACACAATATGTATGAAAGTTCAGTTCAGCTAAAGGTCACAAGTTTGGTGTGTAACACATTCCTATTAACACACTATGACTATACTCCTGCTTGTTAATTGTGATGTAAAAACATAAATGAGTGATTGATATACTGTGGAAATGGTACATACCCAGACATATTCACAATACTACATACAACCAGACATTGAAAAGACAACATTAGAACTTTAACACATTGTAGAGTAAATAATTATTTCAGTATTCAAATTTGCCAGTACATTGTATTACATACCTGGGATCTAGCTGTTTGAACTTGAGAACTTTGACCTCCATTTTTTTTCTTGGTGATAACGATTTCTTCAGTGACGGGGACCCACCAGTCTTTGTACTCTTGTAAAACAATACTTTTTATTAATAATTTATTGTCACATTCAGTATCAACTCTTTTCACCATTAAAACATTCTCCATTAAAGTTCAATATCTTTGTATCAACCATAATCTATATGTTGTCTATATTATAGTTTTATAGACCAGAATCTGTTGTCTATATTATAGTTTTATAGACCAGAATCTGTTGTCTGTTCAATAGTTTTATAGACCAGAATCTGTTGTCTATATCATAGTTTTATAGAACAGAATCTGTTGTCTGTTCAATAGTTTTATAGACCAGAATATGTTGTCTATATCATAGTTTTATAGACCAGAATCTGTTGTATATATTATAATTTTATAGACCAGAATCTGTTGTCTGTTCAATAATTTTATAGACCAGAATCTGTTGTCTGTTCATTTATTGTTATCTGTTCCCTATTTTATCTGTTTCTGTTCTATCTGTCATCTATTCTATGTTATCTCTTCTCTATTCTATCAGTTGTCTATCTAATAGTTTTATTGACCAGAACCTGTTGTCTATATTATAGTTTTATAGACCAGAACCTGTTGTCTGTTCAATAGTTTTATAGACCAGAACCTGTTGTCTATATTATAGTTTTATAGACCAGAACCTGTTGTCTGTTCAATAGTTTTATAGACCAGTATCTGTTGTCTGTTCAATAGTTTTATAGACCAGAATCTGTTGTCTGTTCAATAATTTTATAGACCAGAATCTGTTGTCTGTTCAATAGTTTTATAGACCAGAATCTGTTGTCTGTTCAATAGTTTTATAGACCAGTATCTGTTGTCTATATTATAGTTTTATAGACCAGAATCTGTTGCCTGTTCAATAGTTTTATAGACCAGTATCTGTTGTCTATATTATAGTTTTATAGACCAGAATCTGTTGTTTGTTCAATAATTTTATAGACCAGAATCTGTTGTCTGTTCAATAGTTTTATAGACCAGAATCTGTTGTCTGTTCAATAGTTTTATAGACCAGAATCTGTTGTCTGTTCAATAATTTTATAGACCAGAATCTGTTGTCTGTTCAATAGTTTTATAGACCAGTATCTGTTGTCTATATTATAGTTTTATAGACCAGAATCTGTTGCCTGTTCAATAGTTTTATTGTTATCTGTTCCCTATTTTATCTGTTTCTGTTCTATCTGTCATCTATTCTATGTTATCTCTTGTCTTTTCTATCTGTTGTCTATCTAATAGTTTTATTGACCAGAAACTATCATCTCTTCTATTGTTTTATCAAACAGAATCTGTTGTCTATTCCATTTGTTGTCTATTTCATTTTATAAGGAAAACACACCTCCAGATATGATGGATTTGTCCGGCATGGTTTTATACATGTTGAGCTGCATCAGAAGCTCCTGGAACTTTGGAACAGGCCAGTAGCGTTGGTCCTCAGTCTCTTCTCCTCTTCTCTGGAAGAACCTTACAAACAGGTATTCACTGAAGATTGGCCCCATGGAGCCTATAGGTGGCCACGCCATCTTCTCCATCAGGAGGGGAATCATGGGCTTACCAAGATTAACTGACATGTTGACCTGAAATTTTAAAAAGTCAATTAGGCAAAACGCAATATTGTACTTTCTCACAATGAATTGGAAAAGAAGAAAGCTGATTGTAGATGTTGTTCAATTCAAGTTACCATCCTTTAATGAAAGGTAGAATGTAATGATGGTAGTGTCTTACATAAGAGGCCTCCCACATCGGATAACATAGGAGGGCTATTACATCTGATAACAAAGGAGGGCTATAACATCTGATAACATAGGAGGCCTATAACATCTGATAACATAGGAGGGCTATAACATCTGATAACATAAAAGGGTGATTACGTCTGATAACATAGGAGGCCTATAACATCAGATAACATAGGAGGGCTATAACATCTGATAACATAGAAGGTCTCCCACATCTGATAACATAGGAGGCCGATAACATCTGAAAACAGAGGAGGGCTATAACATCTGATAACATAGGAGGGCTATAATATCTGATAACATAGAAGGTCTCCCACATCTGATAACATAGGAGGCCGATAACATCTGAAAACAGAGGAGGGCTATAACATCTGAAAACAGAGGAGGGCTATAACATCTGATAACATAGGAGGCCGATAACATCTGAAAACAGAGGAGGGCTATAATATCTGATAACATAGGAGGCCTATAACATCTGATAACAAAGGAGGGCTATAATATCTGATAACATAGGAGGCCTATTACATCTGATAACATAGGAGGCCTATAACATCTGATAACAAAGGAGGGCTATAATATCTGATAACATAGGAGGCTCATAACATCTGATAACATAGGAGGCCGATAACATCTGAAAACAGAGGAGGGCTATTACATCTGATAACATAGGAGGGCTATAACATCTGATAACATAGGAGGGCTATAACATCTGATAACATAGGAGGGCTATAACATCTGATAACAAAGGAGGGCTATAATATCTGATAACATAGGAGGCCTATTACATCTGATAACATAAAAGGGTGATTACGTCTGATAACATAGGAGGCTCATAACATCTGATAACATAGGAGGCCTATAACATCTGATAACATAGGAGGGCTATTACATCTGATAACATAGGAGGGCTATAACATCTGATAACAAAGGAGGGCTATAACATCTGATAACATAGGAGGCCTATTATTATCTGTTTCAGTTGGGTGATTTGGCATAATTTCTGAAAATCAACTTACATTTCTGTCACAATTTGGAGACTTGGCATACTTTTCTGAAACACAACTAACCTCTCTATTACAGTTTGGAGACTTGGCATACTTTTCTGAAACACAACATAAGATGACCTTTGCACCACGGATTCCATTGTCGATCTTCTCAAAGAGTTTGTCCCCACCTCCCATTTGACCAATGTCCATCCAGCACTCATACCCAGCCATTATCAGATGGTTCCTTAGAAGCTTGACCTCGTTTTGGTGACCCCACTGGTAACTAAGGAAGATTGGTGGGGGTGTGGCATAATCTATTTCCTCCTCCACAACGCCCTCTGTAGAGGTAAATGAGAAACTTTTAGTATGCATCCAGTTAAAAGGGAATTATATAAATGATAGCCAGTTTCAAATATCACAATGGTTTAATTTCAATGCTAGCAAATTTCACTTATCTCTTCTCACTACAGTTTTCTTTAAAACTTCAAAATTTTGCATTTTCACCATAACGTTCTTGTTGATTGTGATGGGATTTAATTTTGTGTACTACACCTGATGTAGGATAGAATTTTTTTCCATGGAAGTGTTTTGATATAAAAGATAAATACACTGACAATAGACATAAACAGAACTGTTTACTCTAAACGAAACCTTTGATCACCACAAAATTTATTGTAGATATGTTTTTCCAGATAATGTAACCATAGCAACTTACCAACAGCTTTCATGGCATTCTCTACAATGGCAGCAGCGTCCAATCTGTTCATCTCTTGTAGAATGTTCAATATAGCCCTAGTGGCCTCTATTGTCTTGTGGGTGGCGTACCACTCACTAAGGAGACCCATACAGGGATCATGCTGGGTCGCCCAGCCTTTGATGTCCTGTGGTGTGTACCCTAACCTCTGGGCCAGTAGCCTCCAGTCATGTTCTGTTTTTGGATTCATCAGCTTGGTCAAATCTCTTGACCATTTCGGGGCATTGGTCATCGTCTGTAAATCAGATAAATGATAAAATAAAGATGACATGAATTGTCACGAAACAAAAAAAGACATGACGACAAAATTGTATTTCAGCTTTAAGGTTGATAAAACACAGACACAACATACTGGTGTACTATGATAGAGTGAAGCCAATGGAAAAGTGAAACCACTATAAATATTTTTTTCAATTGCTGTTTCTTCACTTAATTTTTTATCAGTTAACTTAATTATGTTCAGGGTGGGGAAATTAAGGTAGGGGCAGAGGGAGGTGGGAGCGGGGGGTTGTGTTCACATCACCATGGCCATGGTGAAGTGAAGCATTACATAACTTTCTTAATAATCAACATTTCACCAATATTTTTGCTATTCACCTGGATTCAGTCATATACACATACAAGTAACAAACAACATGTCTGGTGTGGGGAAATTTAGACAGAAATTTACCTGAGTAGAATGTAAGAGGAGAGTTAAACATGTTACATTACTGACTAGCAATCCACTTCCACCATTGCCTACCTTGTAATTCACTTCCACCATAGCCTACCTTGTGATCCACTTCATCCACCGCCTACCTTGTGATCCATGTCCACCATAGCCTACCTTGTGATCCATGTCCACCATAGCCTACCTTGTGATCCACTTCCACCACAGCCTACCTTGTGATCCACTTCCATCATAGCCTACCTTGTGATCCACTTCCACCATAGCCTACCTTGTGATCTATGTTCACCATAGCCTACCTTGTGATCCACTTCCACCATAGCCTACCTTGTGATCCATGTCCATCATAGCCTACCTTGTGATCCATGTCCACCATAGCTTACCTTGTGATCCACTTCCACCATAGCCTACCTTTTGATCCACTTCCACCATAGCCTACCTTGTGATCCAATTTCACCATAGCCTACCTTGTGATCCATGTCCACCATAGCCTACCTTGTGATCCATGTCCACCATAGCCTACCTTGTGATCCACTTCCACCATAGCCTACCTTGTGATCCAATTCCACCATAGCCTACCTTGTGATCCATGTCCACCATAGCCTACCTTGTGATCCATGTCCATCATAGCCTACCTTGTGATCCATGTCCACCATAGCTTACCTTGTGATCCACTTCCACCATAGCCTACCTTGTGATCCACTTCCTCCACCTTGATTTGTGTTTCCTTTAAATCTTTCTTCACCTCCTTTACATCTTCCTTGACAGTTTTCACTTTAGTTTTCACAGTTTGGATTTCCTTGCCCTGTTTTTTGACAGTTGTTTTCACCTCAGCTATGTCTTCTTTTGTTTCTGCCACTTGAACTACCAGATCATCAAGTACTTCTAACTTCTCCTTAAACTGCTTTTTGATTGCTTCCACACTGCAACAACATGACATCACTTTTAAACACAAGTCTGTGTTATAGTCAGTTTCATAAAAGAACCTATCATAATTAGAACAGAATATAACCAACTGAGGAACACTAGTCTATATTTGGAGAAGTTATTGTAACCTTTAAAATAGAAATCATTTTCTTATTTCAGATTAGAACTCATCACGGCAGAGAACAAGTCTCATTCATTTCAAACAATTGTGAAAAAAAACTCACAACAAATCCTTTATAACTTTCCATTACTTTTAAATTTGAGCCAGACTTCCAAACAAAATTGCTGATAGGATGAAAAAAATAGTCAGATTCCAGTCTTTACAAAAGAAATGAGGTTGTTATCAGAATGTGATTCATCAGATTGATGTCAATATTTTGTCAGAAGATGTTCATCTTTAACACAAACAGCAAATGAAAACTGTATTTTGCGAGCTTTCACAAAGCAAAGAGTAAAAATGATTGTTATAATGAAAGTGAACCAATAGATGAACTGATGAAAGTGTAAAGTTCACTGTCAAATGGTCGCATTTGTTTTGGTACTGTGTTTTTGAAATCTTGTTGTGTATTTTAACTATTTGTTCTAATTAAGATCACTTATTATACAAAATTAAGAGGTCTTCTCATATATCACAATGAAATGTCATATTAGTATAGTTTTATATGTTGAACTGGGAAAGAAACAGTATACACAGGTTCACATAGTCAGTATACACAGGTTCACATAGTCAGTATACACAGGTTCACATAGTCAGTATACACAAGTTCACATAGTCAGTATACACAGGTTCACATAGTCAGTATACACAGGTTCACATAGTCAGTATACACAGGTTCACATAGTCAGTATACACAGGTTCACATAGTCAGTATACACAAGTTCATATTGATAATAGTCAGTATACACAGGTTCACATAGTCAGTATACACAGGTTCACATAGTCAGTATACACAGGTTCATATTGATAATAGTCAGCATACACAGGTTCACATAGTCAGTATACACAGGTTCATATTGATAATAGTCAGCATACACAGGTTCACATAGTCAGTATACACAAGTTCATATTGATAATAGTCAGTATACACAGGTTCACATAGTCAGTATACACAGGTTCACATAGTCAGTATACACAGGTTCATATTGATAATAGTCAGCATACACAGGTTCACATAGTCAGTATACACAGGTTCATATTGATAATAGTCAGCATACACAGGTTCACATAGTTAGTATACACAAGTTCATATTGATAATAGTCAGTATACACAGGTTCACATAGTCAGTATACATAGGTTCATATCAATAATAGTCAGTATACACAGGTTCACATAGTCAGTATACACAGGTTCACATATTCAGTATACACAGGTTCACATATTCAGTATACATAGGTTCATATTGATAATAAATGATATAGGTAACACATACTTTACACCATTTACAGCATTGAGTAAGAGAGTTGCCATGTCTCTGACCATGACGTCAGATCCATTCTTTTTCAGATCTTCAAAGTAGAGTTTGTATGGCTCGAGTAGACTCTTTCCATGCATAACAGCTAATGATCTGGCCCCGTTTATTACCGTCACCTGATCCGTGCTATCAAAACACCTTTTGGCCATGGTCATAAATTCCTTCATGATGGGTTTCACCATTTCCTGGTGCCGAACAATGAGAAGAGATGAATAAAAATAATGTAAGATGTACTTTAATTCAAGAGCTGACTCTGAGTTTTCCTGAATCTTGTAAAGAAGTCTGTCATTCTTTTGTTTGTGTATAATTGTTGTGAAGTAAGATGCTATAGTTTACTGTACCATTTTGTGTACAAATAATAAGTAAATGTTCTCTTCATCTCTTTAGCATGAAGGCTTGAGTTAAACTGTGATAATTCCTATTATCTAAAAGCAACGTTGAGTTATTATAAAAACTTACCTTTTTCTGTCCAGCTATGGTGATCCCCACAAAGTCCACAGAGTACTCCAGAGGCACTTTCCGATTTCTCAGAACATGTGTGATCATATTTTCTCCAAATAAATCAGGATTTTTCACCATAATTTTTGAAAAGGCAGCCAAAGCATTGTACTGGGTGTCTTCATCACTCACATACTTAACGATGATCTCATCAATGTCTTTTTGAATGAAAAACTGAAATAAAACACTTACAAAATTAACTGTGTTGATGATAAACCTCACTGATAGACAGCTTATTCATCGTGATGGCTACCAGGTATCTCAACAGTTCTTAATGTTATTTCAAACCACGCAAAATTAAAAAAGAAATATTTGGCATCAGGTGATAAGATGTATGAAAGAGCTCATGGTCTTCAAACTCAAAATGTACAGAAAATCACAGGGCTTTCAAACTCAAGATGTATGGAAGAGCTTCAGACTTCAACTCAAGATGTACAAATGAGCTCAGAGAAACTTATACTGATGATGTTCAAAAAGAGCTCAGAGACGTCAAACTCCTAATGTACAAAAGAGCTCAATATGTACAGAAGAGCTCAGAGATTACAACTCAATATGTACAGAAGAGCACAGAGATTACAACTCAATATGTACAGAAGAGCTCAGAGATTACAACTCAATATGTCAGAAGAGCTCAGAGATTACAACTCAATATGTACAGAAGAGATCAGAGATTACATCTCAATATGTACAGAAGAGATCAGAGATTACAGCTCAATATGTACAGAAGAGATCAGAGATTACATCTCAATATGTACAGAAGAGATCAGAGATTACAACTCAATATGTACAGAAGAGATCAGAGATTACATCTCAATATGTACAGAAGAGATCAGAGATTACATCTCAATATGTACAGAAGAGATCAGAGATTACATCTCAATATGTACAGAAGAGCTCAGAGATTACATCTCAATATGTACAGAAGAGATCAGAGATTACATCTCAATATGTACAGAAGAGCTCAGAGATTACAACTCAATATGTACAGAAGAGCTCAGAGATTACATCTCAATATGTACAGAAGAGCTCAGAGATTACAGCTCAATATGTATGTATATACCAGATAACAGGGGAGGGAGTACTCAAAACCTTGTCAGTATATACCAGACAACAGGGGAGGGAGTACTCAAAACCTTGTCAGTATATACCAGACAACAAGGGAGGGAGTACTCAAAACCTTGTCAGTATATACCAGACAACAGGGGAGGGAGTACTCAAAACCTTGTCAGTATATACCAGACAACAGGGGAGGGAGTACTCAAAACCTTGTCAGTATATACCAGACAACAGGGGAGGGAGTACTCAAAACCTTGTCAGTATATACCAGACAACAGGGGAGGGAGTACTCAAAACCTTGTCAGTATATACCAGGCAACAAGGGAGGGAGTACTCAAAACCTTGTCAGTATATACCAGACAACAGGGGAGGGAGTACTCAAAACCTTGTCAGTATATACCAGACAACAGGGGAGGGAGTACTCAAAACCTTGTCCAGTATGTACCAGACAACAGGGGAGGGAGTACTCAAAATCTTGTCAGTATGTACCAGACAACAGGGGAGGGAGTACTCAAAATCTTGTCAGTATATACCAGACAACATGGGAGGGAGTACTCAAAATCTTGTCAGTATATACCAGACAACATGGGAGGGAGTACTCAAAATCTTGTCAGTATGTACTAGACAATATAAATGATAAGGTATGTGAGATGACTACTTCACTACCTACCTCAGGTTGTTTTACACCCATCTTGAGAATGAGATCGGACTGAGTTTCTTTTGTAGCTGAAGTTTTATCTCCTAACAACGTCTGCAGAAGAAGTCGAAACTCGTCTTTTTTAAGCCCTCTGCTGACCTTGTATGTCTTGTCTATCAAATCTTGTTGAAAAAACGAAAGTTGACCTACTTTAACTTTAATTTGCAAATAGACTCCACAAGACACCAAAATCATTAACTGGTAGTGTCATATAAGCCACTACTCTGTTGTCATTTTTGTAAAAACAATTGCGAGAGATTTGAGTTTGTCTTGTCCTATTGTCCTATTTTTAAGATAAATTCCTCGTGCAGTATGATAAGTGTTTAACAGTATAAAGGAGATAACTACAGTTTGATCATGTTCGGTTCATTGTACATACCACTGGCTCAACTCTTCAGTCTAAACGCCATGTTAATTTTATTATCGACCTTTGACCTAAAACTTGAACAGCTAAATCTTCAACAAAGTTATACTACATTATTGTGTATCTTTGTGAACTAGAATCAAACAAAGGGTATTAATTTCCAGACTTACCTAAAGTTTCTTGATCTGTCTGATCTGAGTACCACTTGATGAAGGTTCCCAGGTTAGTAGACAGCAGAGCCGGCTGGTTGTTGCTGATGCTTTTCAGGATGGATGTGGCAGTTTTCCTGAGATCATCTAATTCATGATTTCTCTGTTTGATCACACCAGGAATCAGCACTTTGCAAACTTTATAGCTGTCAGACTCCATGTGCTGCAACAGTCAGCTCTCATGACAGAGTGGGACACAGTACATACAAAGTTAACTCTCATGACAGAGTGGGACACAGTACATACACAGTTAACTCTCATGACAGGGTGGGACACAGTACATACAAAGTCAGCTCTCATGACAGGGTGGGACACAGTACATACAAAGTCAGCTCTCATGACAGAGTGGGACACAGTACATACACAGTTAACTCTCATGACAGGGTGGGACACAGTACATACAAAGTCAGCTCTCATGACAGAGTGGGACACAGTACATACAAAGGCAGTTCTCATGACAGGGTGGGACACAGTACATACAAAGTCAGCTCTCATGACAGGATGGGACACAATACATACAAAGTCATCTCTCATGGCATGGTGGTTCACAGTTCATACAAAGTCATCTCTCATGACAGGGTGGGACACAGTACATACAAAGTCATCTTTCATGACAGGGTGGGACACAATACATACAAAGTCAGCTCTCATGACAGGGTGGGACACAGTACATACAAAGTCATCTCTCATGACAGGGTGGGACACAGTACATACAAAGTCATCTCTCATGGCATGGTGGTTCACAGTTCATACAAAGTCATCTTTCATGACAGAGTGGGACACAGTACATACAAAGTCAGTTCTCATGACAGGGTGGGACACAATACATACAAAGTCATCTCTCATGACAGGGTGGGACACAGTACATACAAAGTCAGCTCTCATGACAGGGTGGGACACAGTAAATACAAAGTTAACTCTCATGACAGAGTGGGACACAGTACATACAAAGTCAGCTCTCATGACAGAGTTGGACACAGTACATACAAAGTCATCTCTCATGACAGGTTGGGACACAGTACATACAAAGTCATCTCTCATGACAGGGTGGGACACAATACATACAAAGTCATCTCTCATGGCATGGTGGTTCACAGTTCATACAAAGTCATCTCTCATGACAGGGTGGGACACAGTACATACAAAGTCAGCTCTCATGACAGGGTGGGACACAATACATACAAAGTCATCTCTCATGACAGGGTGGGACACAGTACATACAAGACATCTCTCATGACAGGGTGGGACACAGTACATACAAAGTCAGTTCTCATGACAGGGTGGGACACAGTACATACAAAGTCATCTCTCATGACAGGGTGGGACACAGTACATACAAAGTCAGCTCTCATGACAGGGTGGGACACAATACATACAAAGTCATCTCTCATGGCATGGTGGTTCACAGTTCATACAAAGTCATCTCTCATGACAGGGTGGGACACAGTACATACAAAGTCAGCTCTCATGACAGGGTGGGACACAGTACATACAAAGTCATCTCTCATGACAGGGTGGGACACAGTACATACACTGGTATCTCTCATGACAGGGTGGGACACAGTACATGCACTGGTATCTCTCATGACAGGGTGGGACACAGTACATACAAAGTCAGCTCTCATGACAGGGTGGGACACAGTACTATCACATTAACATGTATATTAGAGACAATATGTATTGAACTCATTGTTTATGTGTATCTTGTTTTCAACCATCCTTAACGGGAAAAGTAACCTTAATAGTTCGACACCGGTGTTCGTGTTGGGGGTAGATGTGCAGGAGGTGAGCTGTTGACAATAACAGATATTGTTTATTTATCTTGTGTATCTGATCTAGATTCATTGCTCCTTTACAGCATGTGAAACAAGTACAGAAGACGGACAGTGATAAGTTTACTTTCAGTCTTCCTCTATTTTAGTTGGTATTATTGTATTGTTATTATCAAGTCAAACAATCTAGGTATATGTACGCTCCAGTCAGCCATGACTATTGTTTAGTAATATAGGGGAAATTATATTTGTCATTGTAATGTTAACTTCATGAAGTATGTACTACTATTGTATATGGGATATAGATACATACTTGATTGTTAAATATGTAATTATGTAGCCTGTATCATGAGTTTAATGAATTCATAAAAGTATGGAAGCCAAATTCTATTGCTAGTGTTGAACGTAGCGAGTATGTACGCGAGTAGAAATGTATGGAAGCCATAAAGTGTTAGTTTGCATATTGTGCCATGTTATTTCGTGAATAGATTGGAGGTGCACATTAGGTATTTTAACATATTTGTGTTGTTACAAATTACATTCATTAAGCTTAATTAGATTAGTAGTCAGAATTTATGCTATGCTAGATGAATGCTCCCCAAAAACAACATTCTACAACAAACATCACCTGATCAGACCAGGAACAACAGAAGGATAATTCTACACCAAACATTACCTGATCAGACCAGGAACAACACAAGGATAATTCTACACCAAACATCACCTGATCAGACCAGGAACAACACAAGGATAATTCTACACCAAACATCACCTGATCAGACCAGGAACAACAGAGAGATAATTCTACACCAAACATCACCTGATCAGACCAGGAACAACACAAGGATAATTCTACACCAAACATCACCTGATCAGACCAGGAACAACAGAAGGATAATTCTACACCAAACATCACCTGATCAGACCAGGAACAACACAAGGATAATTCTACACCAAACATCACCTGATCAGACCAGGAACAACACAAGGATAATTCTACACCAAACATCACCTGATCAGACCATCAACAACAGAGAGATAATTCTACACCAAACATCACCTGATCAGACCAGGAACAACAGAGAGATAATTCTACACCAAACATCACCTGATCAGACCAGGAACAACAGAGAGATAATTCTACATGAAACATCACCTCACCTGATCAGACCAGGAACAACAGAAGAGATAATTCTACACCAAACATCACCTGATCAGACCAGGAACAACAGAGGATAATTCTACAAAACATCACCTGATCAGACCAGGAACAACAGAAGGATAATTCTACACCAAACATCACCTGATCAGACCAGGAACAACAGAGAGATAATTCAACACCACTCAACACCTGATCAGACCAGGAACAACAGAGAGATAAGTCTACACCAAACATCACCTGATCAGACCAGGAACAACAGAGAGATAATTCTACACCAAACATCACCTGATCAGACCAGGAACAACAATTCTACACCAAACATCACCTGATCAGACCAGGAACAACAGAGATAATTCTACACCAAACATCACCTGATCAGACCAGGAACAACAGAAGGATAATTCTACACCAAACATCACCTGATCAGACCAGGAACAACACAAGGATAATTCTACACCAAACATCACCTGATCAGACCAGGAACAACAGAGAGATAATTCTACACCAAACATCACCTGATCAGACCAGGAACAACAGAGAGATAATTCTACACCAAACATCACCTGATCAGACCAGGAACAACAGAGAGATAATTCTACACCAAACATCACCTGATCAGACCAGGAACAACAGAGAGATAATTCTACACCAAACATCACCTGATCAGACCAGGAACAACACAGAGATAATTCTACACCAAACATCACCTGATCAGACCAGGAACAACACAGAGATAATTCTACACCAAACATCACCTGATCAGACCAGGAACAACAGAAGGATAATTCTACACCAAACATCACCTGATCAGACCAGGAACAACAGAGAGATAATTCTACACCAAACATCACCTGATCAGACCAGGAACAACAGAGAGATAATTCTACACCAAACATCACCTGATCAGACCAGGAACAACAGAGAGATAATTCTACACCAAACATCACCTGATCAGACCAGGAACAACAGAGAGATAATTCTACACCAAACATCACCTGATCAGACCAGACCAGGAACAAACACAGAGGAACAACAGAGAGATAATTCTACACCAAACATCACCTGATCAGACCAGGAACAACACAAGGATAATTCTACACCAAACATCACCTGATCAGACCAGGAACAACAGAGAGATAATTCTACACCAAACATCACCTGATCAGACCAGGAACAACACAGAGATAATTCTACACCAAACATCACCTGATCAGACCAGGAACAACAGAGAGATAATTCTACACCAAACATCACCTGATCAGACCAGGAACAACAGAGAGATAATTCTACACCAAACATCACCTGATCAGACCAGGAACAACAGAGAGATAATTCTACACCAAACATCACCTGATCAGACCAGGAACAACAGAGAGATAATTCTACACCAAACATCACCTGATCAGACCAGGAACAACAGAAGGATAATTCTACACCAAACATCACCTGATCAGACCAGGAACAACAGAAGGATAATTCTACACCAAACATCACCTGATCAGACCAGGAACAACAGAGAGATAATTCTACACCAAACATCACCTGATCAGACCAGGAACAACAGAGAGATAATTCTACACCAAACATCACCTGATCAGACCAGGAACAACAGAGAGATAATTCTACACCAAACATCACCTGATCAGACCAGGAACAACACAAGGATAATTCTACACCAAACATCACCTGATCAGACCAGGAACAACAGAGAGATAATTCTACACCAAACATCACCTGATCAGACCAGGAACAACAGAAGGATAATTCTACACCAAACATCACCTGATCAGACCAGGAACAACAGAGAGATAATTCTACACCAAACATCACCTGATCAGACCAGGAACAACAGAGAGATAATTCTACACCAAACATCACCTGATCAGACCAGGAACAACAGAGAGATAATTCTACACCAAACATCACCTGATCAGACCAGGAACAACAGAGAGATAATTCTATCACCTGATCAGACCAGGAACAACAGAGAGATAATTCTACACCAAACATCACCTGATCAGACCAGGAACAACAGAGAGATAATTCTACACCAAACATCACCTGATCAGACCAGGAACAACAGAGAGATAATTCTACACCAAACATCACCTGATCAGACCAGGAACAACAGAGAGATAATTCTACACCAAACATCACCTGATCAGACCAGGAACAACACAAGGATAATTATACACCAAACAACACCAGATCAGACCAGGAACAACA